TATTTGGACAGCTGCCCCTGTGCTATGGATGCTCTGCCAGGTGAGCTAGAGGAAGATCCTCCTAGGAGAACACCCTAAAATGCCAAATTTCTGGCATGTCCAGCCATCTTCCTTTGACTTAGACCTTGGTGGAGTGAAGGCAACTAAGAGCTAAAAGTGTGAGGGGGTTAGAGCCACTCTGAAGCCCCTGGGTGTGAATCACTCGTTTTCCAGCTGAAAAAGAGTGGGAAGATGGGTTGTTTGTGCCAGCCCCTGAGTTTGCAGAGGTCATGGATCTAATTTTAGCACAGCATGCCCAGGCTTTACTCAGATTTCCACCACGATCCCACTCAAATTGACCCTGTGATTAAAAAAGCTGAGGCATCAAGAGGAAGATGACCCTTGTACCCTAAAGGTCATTTTTGGTGTCAGATGTGAATCCCAAGATCCTGATGCATCCAGGAAGGTTAAGGACAGGTGTAGTCCTTGTGGGAGAGCAAAACAAGCAGGAGCCAGTTTTTATGGCCCGTGAATGAAATGGTTAAACAATAATGTGTTGGGGACTCTCAAACTCAGAGAAGGGTAAGAACAAGAAGAATTCAGGAACTGAAAACTGCATCAGCATGAGAGGAGGCCAAGGTGTAACAGCACTCCAGCTTTGCCCTGTTGTTGCATCTCTGCAGGTTGCAGGGAGGGAAATCAGTTCATATTCTTGGGGAATAACTGGGAAGTGGGGATACAATCCCCTGAAATCTGGAGAATTTCTTGATTGTCACCCAGCATGTTTCGAAGTTGTGCCCATCAAAGAATGGGCAGATCTCTTCCAGAGAGTTTCTGGATGCTTTGGGAATTGTCTCAGCTGGAGATGCTGTGCCAGGTCTCAGCTCACCCAACTTCACTGACCAGTTGTGCCACAAGATTCCCGTGCACCTACAAACAAAACCCTTGGCTTGTCGTTTCCAGCTCTGTATTTTATGCATGTAATTGTCACTTTTTCCAGCCTTCTCCTGGGACAAGGCCTTTCCATAGCTGTTCCTGCAAAGTGTGGCACAGGAAGCCCTTACCTGCACATAAAATTCCAAACAATGTTGGCTTTTCCAGGTGGTTTTTCTGTTCCCTTCAAGGCTGTGACCGAAGCCTCCCTTTATTAAATCAGAGCCAGACTGTGCTGCTGCAGCCCAGATGCTTTGCTTGATTTGTCCTATTCCAGGGCAGTTTTTCAACACCATCAAGAACTGAAGTATAAACAAACAGGAAAAGATTCTGATTCAGAACTATTTTACCCTTCTGACCAGTTCTGGTTCACCACTTCCCACCAGAATCTGGGTCAGAAGCTCAGAGTTACTCTGGCAACATGCAGGGCATGACAAATTCTGGCCTTTTTCTTCAGGCAGGAGCTGTTTCTCAGCTTCAGGTGAGACCTGAAGTAGGTTTGAGGGCACCCTAAAGGAGGGTACAATGGTACTGGCCCTCAGTGCCAGTATGCTGGGAACAATCTGCTTAAATCAAGGCAAGAGGTACTTCCCAACCTGATGTCTGCTCTGCCAGACCCAAGCCACGTGTGTAGCTTAAGGGAGGAGTTCCTTGAACCACCTTCCTTTTGTTTGTTGGATTCAGCTGGGAAGATGTGAGGACATCTGTGCTAAAATCCAGGCTTTCAGGTAGATCCCTCTCCCTGAACAGCACAGGTGAGAGCAAATAGTTTGGATCTACCCACAGCCCCTGTTCTGATGGAAACACCAAGGCTCTGCCTTGGGAATTTCCTTTAAACCTTTGGTTCAGCACAGAAAGTATCAGGTTTAGTCTCTCTTAAAAAACTGACTTCCACAGTCCACTTTAGAGAGGTGCAGCTGCCCTGGGAAGCAGAAATCTGACCAGGCAACAGGTGAATCTCCAAGAAATGTAAGGATGAAGCCTGACTTAGAGAAGAAAAATCATTACATTTGAGCCTTGGTTCACCTGTTTCAGTGGAAGTGCTTGTGGCTGCACTTTAAATAGGTCCCCAGTTGATCTTTACTCTCCTTTTAGAGTGAGAGAGTCTGATTACAGGGAAGGGAAAGCTGTAAAATTAGTGTTGGGCTGTCACTCGGCCCCGTGTGCTCGGGGACAGTGGGGTGTTACTGAGGCTCTGCAGACTCTGCTGCAACGATGTCCCGGGGGAGAATTCCAGGTAGGTCTGAAAGCAGTGAGCCAAGGAGCCACTGGGCAGGCTCTCAGCCCACAGCCTTGGAGATTTGGATGGTCCACGGGACCTCACTGGGGCCTTTGGGCGTTTTTCTTCCTGCTTGGAGACATTTTTCGGGATATTTTAAATAGTTTAAAGAAATAGTTTAAATCTTGCTCTGCTTGGACTGAAGAAAAATATTGTCTCTCCTGCAGTGTGATGTGTCCTGTAATGACAGCACTGAATCCCTGTGGATGTGGGTCAGAGGGATTTCAGGAGCCTCTGGTGCTTGGCAAAGCACCAACTCTGAGCTTGGCAAAGCTCAGAAGATGTGGGGAGCTGCATTCCTGAGGGCATGGGGAGCACAAGCTGGGCAGCAGGAATAGGGCCAGCCAGGCTCTGCAGAGCAGTGCAGAGGGACATGTGACAGGTGGCTGCAGAGCCCTGAGTGATATCAGCCCCAAGCTGCTCTGATAAGAGCGAGTTTGGAATTGCAGGGCTGTGGTGTGACAGACAGTGTCCTCCTGCGTGAGCCTGGTGTTAAAACCTGGCCCTGCACCACCGGTGGGAGGTTGTAAACCTTCCTGAGTGTAGTTTTCATCCAGTAAAGGGATGAAAGGTCAATGGAGGCATTTCTGGGATGCTTCATTTGCAAATGAATACTTGGAATTAGAATGTCAGGAGTGTGAGTTCCCCGGACTGGGATTTGGGAAGTGAGTGATGTTAGAGCTGCAGCCTGAACTGCTGGGTCGGATGGAAAGGGCAGGAGTTGCACCCTCAAAATGTTGCTGCCACCCTGTATGACCAGGAGTGAGGATCTGTGGAAGTGCAGTGCCTCAGCTGTCTGCTCCTGTTAGGGAATAAATGGAGATGTGACACAGGGGGATGGAACTCTGAAATGCCCATCCATCCTGATCTCCACAAAGGAGGGCGAGTCACGGGCAAAAAATAGCCAAGCCTGGTGCTCCGAGTCACTAGAATATCTGCCTGCTTGTCCAGCAGAAGGCTGTCCTGCCCTCCTTCTGGTCCTGCTGCATCCCTGCACCTGGACACAGGGGTAGGGAGAGACCTCCCAGGACAGCCCAGTCTGCCCACGTGGCTGGGTGCCTGTTAGTCTCTTGTAGTGTTGACTGAGGTGATCTGGGCTCTGGCAAATGTTTCATCTTGGACAGCTGCAGGGAAAACAGACTGTGGCAGGCAGAAGCTCTGCCAGAGCCTCGGGTTGGATGGGACCTGCAGGGGGGTTTGGTTCCACACCAAGGCACCAACGAGGCTCTGTTGGGAACAGGAGATGCCAAACTCACATCTTTGTGTTGCTCAAAGTGGCAGCTGCTGCTCTGGGGTTTTTTTTCCAGTACCTAAAGGGGCAACAAGAAAGCTGGAGGGGCTTTTCACAAGGGCATGGAGTGACAGGACAAGGGGGAATGGCTTTAAGCTGAAGGAGGGTGGGTTTGGATTAGATATACAGAAGAAATTGTTCCCTGTAAGGGTGGTGAGACCCTGGCATGGGTTACCCAGAGAAGCTGTGGCTGCCTCATCCCTGGAAGTGTCCAAGGCCAGGCTGGACGGGGCTTGGAGCAACCTGGGCTAGTGGAAGGTGTCCCTGCCCATGGCAGGGGGTGGAACAAGATGATCTTTAAGGTCCCTTTCAACCCAATCCATTCTGTGTTTCTATAATTCTTTTGTCAGTGGAAGGCTTTGGCTAAACTTGTACTTTGCTAATCCCTTTTTAATGACTGATGAGAAGACAAGGCAAAAAGGCTCAGATTTTGAAGGGCTGATCACAACAGCTTTCATTTTGTCTCTGTTTTATCTTAAACAGCAGAAGACAAACGTGAGTATTGCTGGGTTTCTCTATGCTCTGCTGTGTTACTGCCTGGACCTGATCAGTGGAACCCAACAGCTGTTACATGATCATGGTGATCTTTCAGCAGCTGGAGAAATGCTATTTCCTGGCAGTGCCAGCTGTGCCCCTCGGTGTTACACGGAATGGTCCCAGCTTTTTGGCCCTTTAGTATAGGAAACTGCAATTTTTTAAATGTTGTCCTGGCACCCCTGAGTGCTGGTGGGAACCCTCTGGCTGTTCTGCTTTGGCCCTCACATGCTGACCATGTCCTGTGTGACATGTCGATGGTGAGGTCCGTCCTTCAGCATCGATGCTCGCTGAGCTTTGTGCTGAGCTGCCAGCTGCTGGCAAAGCCTGCTCCGTGGCTGTTCCTGTGCTGCCGTGCAAACCTGTGCTTCTGGGAGACTTTTGATGGTGTTTTGTTGGCAGTGGAAGGGCTTTTAACCATCCTTCTCCTGCTTCATAAAGCCCCAGCCAACCCTGTGTCAGTGGTGACCTTGGCAGCACGATGCACGTGGGGGGTGAGGGGGGTCCAGCTGTGGCTGGGGCTCTCCAGCTGTACTGGGATGGTGGGAGCTGAGTGCTTGGGCTGCTGGCTCTGCCCCCCCTCCATCCATACCGCTGTCTTCCTCCTGACTGGATGCCTTGTGGAGCAAGTGGGGCTCGGACTTCCTAAAGCTGTAAGGGCTCTGCCAATCTTCCCCTCTCCCCGCCAGTGCATGCTCCCATAATTGCCCTTCCCAAGGATTTGCTTCTTCCTGGGCCTTTTTGCACCACTCTGGGTGCCTTTCCTGCTGTACTGGGGGTATCAAGGTATGTCTCCAACCCAACAAGGTGTGTCCCAGCCTCGTGGCAAATTTGGGAGGTCACCCCTAGTCTTTTAGGGGGGGTGAGGGCCACGAGGAAACGGCAGCTGAGCACTGAGCTGCCTGCAAGGGACACCTGCCTGTTCCAGTGGCTGGGAACCAGCTGCCTGTGGGAGCCTGAGCTCTGCTCCCTCTCCCTGCAGAGATGGACGAGTCCATGCGCTCCTTCGCCGAGAAGATCTTTGCCTCCGAGGTGAAAGATGAGGAGGTCAAGGGAGAAATCTTCGATGTGGAGGAGATCTCCCCCATCTCCCGGCAGGAAATGAAGGTGCACATGATGCTGCAGGAGAGAAGTGGCACCACGGAGAAGCGGTGAGCAACAGCCAGGGATCCTGGGAAAGGAGAGGAACACGGTCTGCACACCCTTGGCCGGAGCAGGGGGGATGTAAATCAAAGCCCATGGGAAGGGGAACAGCTCATCACACCTGTGGGATTAATCCTTGCTAATCCCAAGGCATCTGTCAGGTATCCAGGGTTTCCTCTCCAAGTGTTCCCACTGTTGGACAGAAAGAGACCCTGCTCCCTGGGTATTAGGGACAGCAATGGCCTCAGAGCTGGTGGAGAGGGAGACTTGGAGACCGTTCTCTGGAAAGATGAGACTCCCCAAGTCTGTGGCTACTTTGTGATCTGTGCCCTCTGCTCTTGGCAGCGGCTGTTTCAGGTGCTCAGAAGGCACCAGGGAGCTGATTTGTGTTGAGCACAGTTAGAACATGGCTGTGGGAAGTACCCCTGTCCCTGTGCCTGCGTGTGACCCCGGAATGAGGCTGTTTGCCTGAGGTTTTCCTCCCCGGCAGGAAGAAGCACCATCTCCGCTTGAAGACAGTTGCGTTGGCACTGCCCTTGGTTCAGAAGTCTGTCAGCAGCCTGTCTGCCATGGATGAGGTCATCTCCACCTCCCCCCTGTACCAGACTGTGCCTACCTTCCAGAGGGTCCAGATCAGTGGGGATTATGCCTCTGGGGTAGGTACTTCCATGGCTGTTCCCCTCCCATGCTGGCCACCACCTCTGGTCCCTGCCTGTCCCTCGGCAGTGCCCAGTGTCACAGGAGCCTGTTCCAGCTGCAGCATCTCCCAGGACAGTCTGTGCCTCCCAGATCAGTCTGTGTCTCCCAGATCAGTCTGTGCCTCACAGGCCTCTGGTGGTGCCCTGCTGCATTCCTGGGGGATCCATAGCTGAATTCCTTGGCAGGAGTCTGTGGGTTGCTCCATGGTTCCCATGGGATTCTCCAGGGAGGATATGGCTGAGCAGGTTGTGCTCATTCTGTCACATCCTCTCTGCTTGCACACAGCTATGCCTGTCCAGGATCTGTGCATATCCCAGAATCCCAGAATGGCTGAGGGAGGTCATGCATTCCAAGCCCCCTGCACAGGCAGGGTCACCTAGAGCCAGTTGACCAGGACTGTTATCACCTCCTATGTTAATCCCTCCTCCTCCTTCTCCTCAGCCTCCTATTACATCTGTGCTGCCCCTGGGATCGTGCTGGTGGATCCAAGCTCAGCTTGGAGCTGCACAGCAGAACAACAACTGGGGAATCTGAAAATCCCTCTTTGTTTAGGCACGTTCCCCCTGCCGTGACTGTCGTAGTGGTGTTTTCTCACCCTGCTCCACTCCTTTGAGCCACTTCTGACTGCCCAAAACACTTGTCAGAGCAGTAAATCAAAAACTGTCCTGGTCACTGGTCGGTGTTTCATGTTCCTGCTTCAGTTTCAGCCTGGGCTCCAAAAATAGCTTTTAGTGTTTTGCCCCAGCCTGACCATTTCAGGGCCATCTACAGATTACAGTGAGGAGTGTAAGAGGGGGTGGCATTGGAATTCACTGATTCTGGCACCAGGAGCTTCCCTTTGCCATATCTGGGACTCTGCCTATCATCCCTTCCTTGCCCTGCCCAGGCAGAGCAGCGGGAGGGAGGGCATGATTGATATGATATGATATGATTATCATATGATTATGATTATGATTTTGGTTATGATATGGTATGACAAGAAAGCTCGAGAGGAACCTTTCACAAGAGCATGCAGTGACAGGACAAGGGGGAATGACTTCAAACTAACAGAGAGTAGGTTTAGATTGAATATTGGGAAGAAATTCCTCCCCCTGAGGGTGGTGATGCCCTGGCACAGGTTGCCCAGAGAAGCTGTGGCTGCTCCATCCCTGGAAGTGTCCAAGGTCAGATTGGATGGGGCTTGGAACAACCTGGGCTAGTGGAAGATGTCCCTGCCCATGGCAGGGGTTGGAACTGGATGATCTTTAAGGTCCCTTCCAACCCAGGCCATTCTATGATTCTGTGATATTTATCTCGCTGTGACCAAATGTCCCAGTTACAGGGGCTGGGACCAGTTTATCACTATGTGGGTGTATTCTACACCCTCTCTGTCATTTCTGATGGACTGATGGGTTGTTTGCAGCAGGCAGCAGCTGCCCAGGGCACACTGACACCTCAGGCTACAAGCTGGGTGTTAAAGAACCCTACCAGGCAGGGGAGTGTTCTTTTGTTTCCACACAAACGACTCAGCTGAGATAACTCCCCTCTGGAAAGGCATTAACACCTTCACACCCAGCCTGAGGGGTCATCTCTGCTAATGGGCCACCTTGGACTGGCATAATGGGCAGCTGCAACCACCTAGACCACCAAAGATTCCAAAAATATCCCATGGCTCACAGAGTTAAATCACCCCCAGTACCCCGGGGGAGGTACTGGACATTCCCACCTGAACTTGAGCATATATTATCTATGGATTTTGGGACTTCTGGTGTCACTTCTGGGATCCAGAGGAGGACCAGAACTTTAACAGAACTATGACCATCATGGAGGTTTCCTTTCCTTTTACTTTGCCCCCGGGGGCCCACGTGGTGCTCAGCACAGGGCTGACGAGCACTGTTCCGTTCTTGTCTCAGGGTGCTGGGTTATTCATCTGTTTTTGCAGGTTAAAACCAGTTTTTCTCTGTATCATTGCATTTATTGTAATCTTTTTTAGTAGATTGTACCTCTGACTTGTAATCTCTCTTGAGCTGGTTTCATTTCTCCCATCAGTTTACTTTTAAACCAGCACACCAAAATTGTTCTCTCTCCATCTGGGTTCACCAGGGTGTCTCTCTCGGACATCTGAGTTCCAGTTGTGTGTTTGCCTTCAGCAACAACCCCCTTGCAGGTGACAGTGGAAGATTTTGAGGTTGTCTGCAGAGGTTTGTACCGTGCCCTGTGCATCCGGGAGAAGAACATGCAGCGCTCTCTGCAGAGGTTCCCCAAGACCCCAGCCCAGTACCTGCGTGCCATCGAGGGCGAGGCCTGGAGGCCGAGTGACACTGGCCCAGGTACACCCAGGATCCTGGAAGGTCTTCCCCTCTGGCCTCAGCATGGGGCAGGGAAGGATTGTGGAAGTGCTCCACGGGGGAGTCGCTTGCCCAGGTCTCCTCTTGGGTGCCACAGTGGTGGGGTGTCCCTGCCCACTGCCCAGGCTGGAGGAGCATGGCAGGTTTGGGGGCTGTTGGCTGGCAGCCTGTGCATTGTGGAATTCTCCTTTTGGTCCAGTGTTCAACCCGCCAGTGAAGGATGGACAGGATCCCTTTGAAACTGGGAGTCTCCCCGAGGACCTGGGATACCACATCCAGATGAAGGAAGGGGTAGTTTATGTCTATGCTGACAAGGCAGCAGCTGAGAGAAATGAGCCAAAGGACCTGCCCTACCCCAGCCTTGAGGACTTTGTGGATGACATGAACTTCCTCTTGGTCCTGATTGCAAAGGGGCCTGTGTAAGTGCACAACCCAACAGGTCCTGCCTCAGTGGGCAGAGGGAGGTCAGGGCAGCCCCCTCCCCTTCCTGGGAGGAGGGAGAAATCTGCTGATGACATACCTGGCTGCCCAGCTGTACTCGGCCCTTGTGAGCCCTCTTGATTGGGGTCTTAAGCAAAGCCAGCATTCAGGGACTGGAGACAGGGCTGCAGACACACTCCCACCTGCCCAGCCTTCCTTTGAAGCTCTGTAAGAGGCAGGAGAAGCACCTGAGGGAAGCAGGGCTGGCCAGCATGAGCTGCTCCACCTCGGGTGAAAGCTGCAGCCCTGTGCTGAGGGGTGAGAAGCCCAGTCACTGTTCTGCCCTTTGCTTTCACTAGTAAGACCTACACTCACCGGCGCCTCAGGTTCCTCTTGTCCAAGTTTCAAGTGCATGAAATGCTCAATGAGATGGAGGAGATGAAGGAGCTGAAGAACAACCCGCACCGGGACTTCTACAACTGCCGGAAGGTAAAGGGCAAGGCTTACAGCTCTGGTGACCCTGAGGAGGAAATGTCTTGGTGCCTTCCCCTCCCTGGGAACTGGATTTTAGAGTCCAGGTCCACTGGCATTGTTCCCACAAGGGGGAATGTGCTGGCTGGACTGCTCTTGGCCCATCATGTTCACACCACTGAGCCCTGCTCCCCACACAACTTGCTCCCCTGAGGGGTTTGTGGGCCTCCCTGGGATGGTACCTGAGCATCCCAACTCGAAGCTGGAGATCTGTCCCTCTTGCTTCCCAGGTGGACACGCACATCCATGCTGCAGCCTGCATGAACCAGAAGCATCTGCTGCGTTTCATCAAGAAATCCTACCACGTGGACGCCGACCGCGTGGTCTACAACGCCAAGGGCAAACAGCTCACCCTGAAACAGCTCTTCCAGCAGCTCAATCTGCACCCCTACGACCTGACAGTGGATTCCCTGGATGTCCATGCTGTAAGTGGTTGGACATTTAGTGTAAAATCACTCTTGAGGCACTCTCATCTCCTCCATAGGCACAGTTTTTCCCTTCCCTGCGCACCCACGACATACTGTGTGTGTTAATATTCGTGGCAGGGTGTCACAGCTCCTGGTTTTCCCGTTTTGAGTGGTTTGGATCGGTCCCTGCTTACTGCCACACCTGGCCTGAGTGTGTGAGTGCAGGATTTGACCCTGATCCCGCCTCTTCCAGGGCCGACAGACATTCCAGCGCTTTGACAAGTTCAACGACAAGTACAACCCCGTGGGGGCCAGCGAGCTGAGGGATCTCTACCTGAAGACAGAGAACGCCATCAACGGCGAGTACTTTGCCACCATCATCAAGGTGAGGAGAGAGGGGAGGGGAAGAAGTGAAGCTTTGGTGCTGCTGTGGGTCCCTGTGCCACGGTCTGCTCTGGTTTGCAGGAGGTTGGCTCCGACCTGGAGGATGCCAAGTACCAGCACACGGAGCCTCGGCTCTCGATCTACGGGCGGTCAAAGGAGGAGTGGGCCAAGCTGGCCAGGTGGTTCAACACCCACCGGGTCTATTCCCCCAACATGAAGTGGATGATCCAAGTACCCAGGATTTAGTATGTGCTGTGGGTCTGAGGGGCCACTGTGCCTTACAGATACCTCATACCTGGGGGTTTGTGGGGACAGTGGGCTGTGTGGTCCCACTGGTAGCAGCTAATCCCTGTCTCTGTCCACAGTGATGTGTTCAGGTCTAAGAATTTCCTGCCCAGCTTTGGGAAAATGCTGGAAAATATCTTTGTTCCTGTGTTTGAGGCAACTGTCAATCCTCAAACCCACAAAGAGCTGAGTGTCTTTCTACGCCACGTGAGTGTCACCTGATGGTGTTGTCAGGTGTGGTGAGAACTCACAGTCCTGTTTGTGCACAAGAAATGGGGTATTGGCTGATGTGGAAGATATCACCAGTGGGCTTGTGGCCCTTCTACAACATTCTTGGAAGTGGGTGTGTGGCCAGAAGTGCAGGGAGGGCTCAGGCTCCCTGAGATGGCTGCTGTGGGGCTGTGGGAAATCCTCACCTCCTGGGGAAGGTGTGAGCTTTATTCCTGGTTACTGACAGAGCTTGGGGGGTTGTGAGGAGGGAGGTCTGCAGCCTTGCTGGACTCTGCTCTTGAGGAGGATGGGGGTGTGGGTTCTGGTGAGCTGCAGGGGGGCAGGGTGAGCCAGCCCAGCTGGGCATGGTGACGTGGGGAGCCTTGAGATGCACCTCTCTTGTTACCTTGCCAAGCAGATCACTGGCTTCGACAGTGTGGATGATGAATCCAAGCACAGTGGACACATGTTCAGCACCAAAAGCCCAAAGCCAGAGCAGTGGACTTCTGAGAAGAACCCATCCTACACCTACTACATCTACTACATGTACAGCAACATCCTGGTGCTGAACAACCTGCGCAGGTGAGGCCCAGGATCTGCCACCATGAGGTGGCACAAGGGGCTGCCTCGTGAGTTATCTCAGCTCGTTATTGATGTGGGAGAAATGGGGGGCACCTTGCTCTGCCCACAGTGTAGTTTGGAGCTTCATATCCCAGAGCAATCCAGAAGCTTCTCAGTAGGAAGCGTGACGGACTGGGGTGAAAATTAGGGATTGCAGAGATAAGGGATCTATTGCATGCACAGAGGAGAAAAGAGAATGAGTGATGTGCTCCTGGGCCAGGCTGGATTCATGGGGAGGGGCAGAGCTGGGCCTGAAGTCAGGTCCAGCCCCCTAACCCTGCTGCCTGCCCTCCTTCCCTGCGCTCAGGCAGCGTGGGATGAACACATTCCTGTTCCGCCCGCACTGCGGCGAGGCCGGGGCCATCACACACCTGCTTGCAGCCTTCATGACAGCAGATAACATCTCCCACGGCCTCAACCTCAAGAAGGTAAGTGGAGTTAGTCTGTCACGAGCAGCCCAGGCGTGGCAGGGCAGCAGAACATGTTCACAGCTGCCTCCATGCAGCTGAGAGTTGGTTGTGCCTCTGCTTTACGCTGACACAGCCTGGCTTCAGGCAGATGTCACTTCTCTGGGGCTCTCCAGGCGTGTTTGGGGATCTGGCTGAGAAACCTGTTGGATTTTGAGGGTTCAGCCTCACAGACCTGTTGTAGGATACATCTGTTATCATCGAGCCAGCTGCATTCTGACATCAAACAGGTTTGAGCTCCATGTCCTCTCACGCTCCATGTGGACTCTGAAGGATTGATTGCTGGCTTGCCCCTCTCTTTCCTTGCACACGTGAGCTCTCGGCCTTAAGCTCTGCCAGGGGAGGTTTAGGTTGGATATTAGGAAGAAATTTTTTACAGAGAGAGTGATCAGATATTGGAATGGGCTGCCCAGGGAGGTGGTGGATTCACCATCCCTGGAGGTTTTTAAGATGAGACTGGATGTGGCATCAGTGCCATGGGCTGGTAACCACAGCAGTGTTGGATCAAGGGTTGGGCTTGATGATCTCAGAGGTCTCTTCCAACCTGGCTGATTCTACGATTCTGTGATTCTCTGCACTGTATTCCCTGCCTGGGGCCCGGCCTGATGTGAGGAGTGACCCCAAAGAGGTGCAAGGTGCAGTAACTTTATCCCTAACCCGGTACCTCTGCTCACCTTTGCAGAGCCCAGTGCTGCAGTATCTGTACTTCCTCGCCCAAATCCCCATCGCCATGTCCCCACTCAGCAACAACAGCCTCTTCCTGGAGTATGCCAAGAATCCATTACTTGACTTCCACCAGAAAGGGCTCATGGTGTCCCTGTCTACAGATGACCCCATGCAGTTCCACTTCACCAAGGTACGTGTGAGCGCTGGGGCTGGCACTGTGGGGCTGGGAGTGTGTGGGCCTCGATTTTTTGGGAAGCCAGTGGCACCTGCCAAAGGTCCATCATATGCTGGGCCATCTGCCCCTCTACCAGGGGTGGTTCAGGTTGAACATCAGGAAAAACTTCTTCACTGAAAGAGTGGTTAAACATTGGAATGGGCTGGCAGGGGTGGAGTCACCATCCCTGGAAGTGTTCAACCAACCACTTTGTGATATTTAGTGGGCAATGGGGGTTGAAGGTTGGACTTGATCTTGGAGATCTTTTCCAAGCCCAGTGATTCAGTGAGCTGTGGGAGAGCCCCTGCAGAGCTGCTGGCCCCTAATCCCGCCTGTGCTGCAGGAGCCCCTCATGGAGGAATACGCCATCGCCGCCCAGGTCTTCAAGCTCAGCACCTGTGACATGTGTGAGATCGCCAGGAACAGCGTCCTGCAGTGTGGCCTGTCCCACGAGGTGGGTGCTGTCCACAAAAACTGGGATTCATTACTAATTATTATTTATTTCAGAGCTGCACAACCCTGGGTGTTCGGTGGGATTCCACAAATCCAGCACACCAGATATCGAAACTTTTTATACATTTTAGCAAACAAAGGAATTAGCGTTCATTGGTTACAAGTTACATAGTTACTTTATTAATTAGCTTCTATAGGCTAATGATTCTCTCACTTCTCATGCTAATTAGTCCCATGCTCAGTCTTCCTCTTCTTTAGGGTTGATGGTCTGTGAGTCACTGGTTGTGATCTGCCCCTGCCAGAATTATCTTTTACCCAACTGGAGCTGATTTCAGCACAATTGCTGAGTTGGCTTTGTTAGTTTCTTCCTTACCTTGGAGCTTTTCCCGAATGTCCTTGTAGCCCACAAATTCTGCATTCCCCGTGTCCACTATCACTGGTACATCCTTCTCTCCAGTCTTTAACCTCCCCGTAGGTCTGGGATGCTCGAAGCACGTCCAGCCCTAAACCTTAACAAGGCAATTCTACCCACACGTAATTTTTCTAACACCTGGACATCACTTCAGAGCTTGTTGGCTGGCTGTTTCACAGGATTAAATCTCCCTTCTTGCTGATTAGGCGTGAACGTACATAAAGATCAAACATCAATGAACATAACTTCTTAGGAAAATGTCCCTGCCCACGGTGATCCCTGGGACCAGTGCCGTCCGTGGGCTCAGGGCTTCTCCCCAGCCTTTCCGAACAAGGAATTCTGAGCTTGGCACCCCTGTCTATTCCCCTGGCAGGAGAAAGTCAAATTCCTGGGCGAAAACTACCGGGAAGAGGGGCCCGAAGGCAACGACATCCGGAAGACGAACGTGGCCCAGATCCGCGTGGCCTATCGCTACGAGACCTGGTGCTACGAGCTCAACCTCATCGCCGAGGGGATGAAGAACGAATAGGCAGGGGGTGGGAGAGCGGGGCCGGGGTTGTGCCGGACTCTGAGGGCACCGGGGCGGCCGCGCAGTAAAACCCGGTCTGAGAAGCGGCTCCGGTCACCCTCAGGGGAGAGGGGAGGGCGGGGCCAATGGTTGAGTGACGGCCGCGCCAACCAATGGGAGACGTTTTCGTCATCGTGGGGCGGGGTAAGAGCGCGGTCTCCACTGAGTGACAGCTGCTCCAGCCAATGGACGGCGGCTCCGTGCGCGTTGGGCGCGTCCTGCGGGAGCGGGACGGGGAGAGGTCTCTGTGATATAGGGCGGGGTTACCGTGTGAGTGACGAGCCAATGGTAGACGACTGCGTGCACCCGTGGGCGGGATTTTCACATGAGTGACGGGTACTCCAGCCAATGGGCGGCGGCTCCGTGCGCGGCGGGCGCGCCGTGCGGGAGCGGTGGCGGAGCGGGCCGAGGCCGCGGTGAGACGGGCGGGGGGCGCGGGCGGGAACGGGAGGGGGCTGCGGGACCGGGGGGGTTCGGGGCTTCCCGCGGTCACTGCCGGGCTCGCGGCTGCCGGCCCCGAGGGGTCCCCGTGTCCCGGCCCGGGGCAGGCGGCGAGCGGCCGGTGCAGCATCTTCGCCCTGGGCAGCGGGCGAACGGGCGGGAGGGAGCAGGTGACAGATCCAGCCACCGGCTGTCCTGGGGGAGAGCCACCCCCTCGGCCTGGGAAGGGGAGCTCGGGGGGGTTGTCTCGTCCCTACGTGCAGGGAGGGTGCCGGGGGATCCATCCAGGCTCCTGCCGGTGGTGTCCGGGGATGGGCTCAGCCTGACACGCGGGAGGTGAACCCCGGGAAACACCTCTGAACCCCAGGAAACACATATTCACTATGGGGGTGAGGCTCCCCAGGGATCCTGCAGCGTATTCCCGTCCTCTGGGATATCCAAAAGCCGTCCTGGAGACACCCTGCTGTCGGTGCTCCAGCCTGGGTCTCTTCCACCTCAACCACGCTGTGATTCTGCACTGAGTTTATTTAGGGCAAAGAACGCACTGCTGTGTGATTTTTTGCGGTGGCATTAAGTGTTTGTGCTGTGCTGCACTGAGGTGCTCAGGCCCGAGTGGTTACAGAGTCCTTGGGCTCAGGGTGTGGGCTGGCACGCTGGACCAGTCTCCCCTTGCCTCTCCCAGTTCACTGCTCCCTCTGTTCCAGTTGCCACGGCTGAACACAGCCTGGCTGAGAGGGCACTGGGCTGATACGAGTGTGGTAGAGCCCAGGCAGTGGTGGGAGCAATTCTTTCACAGCCGTGACTTGTGTCAGCAAGTGATGGAAGAGAAGCAGAAGAGCAGTTGCAGGATAAGCAGCCCCTGGAAATGTGTATTTGGGCAGTGGTGGCTGTGGTTTCTGCTCTGACCTGGAATGCTGAGCCCTAGTGCTGCCCATTGCTGCCTGGCAAAGTTCTTATCTCAGTCTTCCAGTGTGGATGTGACTCACTCTCTGCAGCTCTGGAACACATTATCTAGATGATGTCTGAGAGGTTTTATGGTGTTACCTTGCTCTGCACCCTCTGAGCTTCCTGGGGCAGCTGCATGGTGCTGCTGAGACTTTCCCAAAGGAATGGGTGGTTGTGGTGGCCCCACACAGCCTGTCTGGGGTGGCCCATGTAAATCCACAGGGGCTCTGTGGACCACAAAGGTGGTCGTGGCTTTATGGTGATGTCAGCCCCGGGGGAAGCTGGAATCTCACCTCTGGTGGTGGCACTGAGGAATGGCTCCAGGATAAGTTGTGTTTGATTTTTAACTCTGTGCCCACCTTGGGTCTTAGTCCTTGTGTGCAGCTGCAGCATTCCTGGGATGGGAGCCAGCCCGTGGTGTAGGGGCTGAGTCAACTGCTGTTGTCAGTATTGCTGCCCTGGGCATTCAGATACTGTGAGTCAGGTTCAAACCCCACGACTGTAAAAATAGTACAGTGTGGGTTCTGTGTCCTCTGGTATAAAAGCCTTCAGGGCTTACATGTCTAAAGGGTTCTGGTTTTGGATTTTTTTTGTTTTTCTTATAGCATGGGTAAAAACTTACTTTAGAAAAAGATTGTAAGTTGAAAGATCCAGATATATCTTTCTCATCAGTACAAAAGACTTAGACCCCATGGCAGAGGTCAGACTTAATATCTTTTTACGGTGTAATTAGGATTAGCATCATGCTTTCTGTGTCCAGGGGCTGTGCTCTATGTGGCCGTGGATCTAATGAGGCAGAACTGTTCCTCAGTGTGAGATGCAGCAGCATGGAACGAGTTAATACCTCGTGGTTAGAGTTGCTTTGTATCAAGATGGAAATGACTAAGCACACTGCATTCCTGAAGTGTTACTTATTTTGATATAAAATCTGCTGCTTTGGTACTGCCCATGTCTGTCAGGCATCAGCATGGCAGAGTTGCTCAGAGGAGCTTCATGTTTGTTCTGGAGCTGAACAGAATGGGAGCAGCTGGGAGCTCTGGAAGGGGTCCCTGCGGTGCTGGAAGTGCCCTCATCCCTCCAGGAACGAGCTGGCAGCTTCCCTAGACTGCAGAAGAACAGAAACTGTCTTTTATTTGGCTACTAACACAGCAGGCTTGGTGACAAGCAGGTCTCTTGGGTGGTTTGGGACTGCACAGCTCTCATAAAAGGAAATTGCTTCAGAGCTGCACGGACTGGCCGAGTCGGTGATTTGTGTGTTCCTGTGCCTTTTGTGGAGCAGGACAAGGTAAGGAGCTGTGTCAGTGCCTTTGTTCAGCTGCTGGCGTGGGCAGGGGGCTGTGGGGTTCCAGCAGCACCTGCAGTGGGTGGGCTTGACCTCAGCACTAGGCAGTATTTTACTCTTGAAAAGCACCGGCAGCTTTCTCTCCGTGAGAATGCGGTTTCAGGAAACGGAATTGTCTTGAGACTTTGCATGGAAAATGTGTAATGTGCTCTCTGGCATTCAGGACTGGAAAAAGAGTCAGGGCTACCTGTCATGTGCTGTGAACGTGCCTCATTCTTCTCCTTTGGATAAAGGCTTGGAAGCTGTCTTCACGCAGCTGGGATCAGAGAGGCAGTTAGGGAGAAATGTGTGACACTTAGTCTAGAAATTATAGCATTTTCCCCCAAACTGCTGCTTTCAGTGAAATAATTCAGTATTCTTGACTACGCTGACCTGCTGTAAAGTCCTGATGCAGTAAGGATGATGAATTTGGCTTCTCTGGAAATACTGGGAAGCACATGAGAGCCACTGAAGGAGTTTGGGAGATCTCAGGAGAGAAGCATCACAAATCTGGTTAGTTTGTGATGGGAATGATGTGTGTCGTGCCTGATACGAGTGCTGGCTGCCTGACCCAGGTGGTCTCTGCCAGTTCTATGTCCCTGAGCTGTTTTAGCCTGTCCTGGGCTGCATCTGGGGGTGTCTTTGCTTGGATCCCACCACCCCAGTGTGCTCTTTCTTCTCCAAGGATCAGTCTCTACCCTTGCCCAAGCTCACAAGAGATTAAATGCCTGGTTCTTGATACCAGCCACTGCCTTGCAAGCCTGGGCAGGTGAAGGGCTGAATTCCTCTCCCCCTTATTATGGTTATTTTGGAAAAGGTAGTTCAGGGCTGTGTCTGGCAGAGCACTAAGCAGGGGAGAAGCTTTGAGCTTGTGCTCTACTGTCTGTGTTTAAGATGAGCCAGGAGCTGTGTGTGTCTGGCTGTATCTGGTAGTTCTGAGATCAGTGATGTGCCTTGGAAAGATCTTTGCTTTGCACTCAAAACTTTTTGGCTTTTCAGGTGAGTGAAGCTTATTGCTTCACCTTCTCAATAATAGTACTTCTCCAGCTGGTGTGTGGAGCTGCACGGGCTGGGGAAGTAACATTCTGTGGTAGGTTTATGGTGAAGGAGAGGGAATAAACTCAGTGTGGGTCCTGTTCTGCAGATGTTCAAGGCCAGCTTGGATGGGGCTTGGAGCAACCTGGTCTAGTGGAAGGTGACCCTGTTGTGGAAGCAGAGATGTGGGCAGTGGGAGAGGGCAGGAGCACTGGGCTGACTTGGGCCATGGCTCGATATGAGGAAGCAGGAATGTGTCTGTCTGGCTGAGGAAGCTGCAGCACAGGCAGTTTTTGTTGCACCCTCACCAACGTGAGTCATGGGAGGAAGGACACGGGGCAGGCTGGCAGAGCTGCCCTGCTTGGGCACAGCAGGGATGGATCCAGCTGGAAAGCTGTGCAGGGCTACTCAGCCTGCTCTGTGCAGTGATTTGTCCTCATGGATGCTGGACAGCAGGAAAAGGTTCTTCCCCCAGAGGGTGGTGGGGCACTGAACAGGCTCCCCAGGGCAGTGGGCACGGCCCCGAGGCTGCCAGAGCTGGATGACACTCTCAGGCACATGGTGGGATTTTGGGGTGTCCTGTGCAGGGCCAGGAGCTGCCCTCAATGATCCTTGTGGGTCCCTTCCAACTCAGCATGTTCTGTGATTCCATGCAGATGTTTTGCCAGGCTGCTCCCGGAGGAGCTGCCAGCTGGAGGATTCGGAGAGGAATTCCCTCTCAATATTCCCTTGGGAAACAAGGGAGCTGTTGGTGCAGCGTGTGGGCTTGCTGAGGGCATGGGCTGCCCATGCTCCATGAATTCTGGTCTGGAAGTGCTTAGTCCTGTGGATAAACCTGTTGCTCTGCACTGTAGTGTCCTTCACGGCCTCTCCCAGTGCTATTTCTGCATCCAACAATCCCGTGTTTGAAGACCTGGAGGGCAGTGAAGGAGCCTGGTGTGAAGCTGCACTGGCTCAGGAGGCTGTTTCACCCCTCTCCTCACCTGGCTGACCCCGACAGAGCCTTTCCTTCTTCGCCTGTGCCTCCAGTCCTCGGGAGCATCCTGGAGCGCTGCTGCTGCAGAGTAATTGCAGTGGCACAGGAAAAGGGAAAGCTGCTTTCCTGTCTGCTAATCAGGGCTGTGCAGACAGGGATGGAGGAAGGATGGCTCTGCTCTGGCTCAGGATGTTTTGGCAACAATGCCTATTTATAGGAGAGGGCAGGGGCCCCTCGCTGCCCTGCAGGAAGGGGTCTCACAGCGGCCTGGCTACGGAAGCGTTGAGGGCAGGCTGGAATGCTGATGATGGAGCAAATATCCCCAGCTCTGTGCTTACCCCGATTGTCCAAGTTTATCCTGCTCACTGCTGAGTGGGAGAGTTACTGGCAGCTGTCTGGGACAGTGTGGTGAGCAATGCCAGACTGCAGGACCCCACACTGTGGGAGCTGCTTCCCACAGCGAGCAGTGCTGCTTTGGGGGAGGGTGACAGGGCAGCAGAGAGCCAAGGCTTGGTGCCCTGTGTGCCCAAACCATCCCTGAACTGCTTGGGGAGCCCTGGGATGTCCTTCACCAGTGAGCTGTCTCACTGGTGATGTCGAGTAGATGTACCAAGGCTGGTGTTTTGCTTTTAACTGCACCACAAATGCCTCAGCCAAGCGGGTCAGCAGTGCCAGGGACAGCACTGGAGCCTGGAATCTGAGGTGTGGTGCCAGCAGTGGGAAGGATGCGGGTCTGTGCTGTGGTGGGGACTCTCCACACCCAGCCTCGTGCGTGGAGCATCCTTGTCAGGCAGGTTTAAGCTCCTCTGTCTCCCAGCCTGGTTTGCTGCCCATCCTTGGCTCTGCCCACTCCTACAGGCTCTGGTGAGTCAGTGCAGGCTGAGTGTTGAAACAGCAGCTTTGAAGGACGTGTGTGTGGCAGTGGGAGCTGGCTGGGTCTGTCAGGTGGAACCTGAGTACAGGTCTGGTGTGACTTTAGCCCCTGTTCCCACCTGGAGTGACTCTGGATTGCTTTCTGCAGAGATCCTCTGGTTTTGTGCATGTGTGGAATGGGCACTGCTTGCTGCTTGTTCTGCCTTTTGCAGTGAGACTTCTTGGTGCCAGGGGAATGTTACCAAAACCAGAGTGGCCAGGCTTGCTGCCCTGGCCTGAGCCCAGCTTTGCTGAGCTTGTCTCCTAACACAAATGGGGAATGTTAAACAGACCTGGAGGGCTGGAACTTCTGAGATGGGATAATTGCCCAGAGAAAGGGAGGAACAGAGCTTGTTAGAGCCTAAGGGCTGCTATCTTCTGTCCAGGATGAGTTTTCAACTGTGCTGGCATATCTGAGGATATTGGGAATGCCTTGTGAGCTACAGGTAGAGCCAAAGGGCTCTGAGGCTGAGGATCCACACGTGAAATGTCTGTGCTGAGGCCATCCTGGACCTGTAGGTGCTGGGTCTGTACAGCCACCGCAGTTCTCCCTGGTGGTTTCACCTGCCATCCTTGCTGGAATATCTGGAGGATGTTTGCTGTATCCTCTGGATTATATGCTGGGATAGTCTCAAACATCACAGCTCCTGTTTGTGCAGGCTCTGCTTGGGTAGAAGAAGCCAGAATGTTCCTTTAGAGTGTCTTCTCCTCTGCTGATCTTAATACAGGGCGATTTTTCTCCTGAGCATGAGAACTCACCAATTTCTTCTGCTTGTTAAAACTTTCCTGGCTGCAAACCACAGGCTGGGCACCACTGCCCTCCCGTCTCTCTGACGGCAAATGTAGGTCAGGTGTTGACAAACAGAACATCAGGCAGGTTTTTACTTGTGTTGTGCAGCAGGAGAGCAGTTCTGGGAGGAGGGTGCACTCCTCCAGAGTCGGGCTCTTCTCCAGCCATCACAGCTGTTCTCGTCCTGTGTGAAGCTGCAGTGTCCTGCTGCTGCTGCCTCTCTGGAGATGTGGTTCCCTTTCTAGAGAGGTGGTGTTTCATGTCCTGCTGTGTCTCTGCTGAGTGGAGAGCTCACAGTGCTGCAGGGGTTTGGCTCTGTGCTGCCTGAGGTGCTCTGAGCAGTGCAGAGCATCAGGAGGAACTGCCTGGGCTGTGCCGGTCCAAGCAGAGGGGCTGGCTCAGGTCCACGCTGCTGTGTTCCTCTTCCATGAAATAATTTCCTTGGGTTTGGACCCTTGGGATCCCTAACTGTGTTTTGTTCCTGTTGTGGTGTTTTGTTTGTTTTTTTAGCCGGTGAGGCCTCAACTTCCTTTCATTAACCCTCCCAAATGTGCGCTGCACAAACAGGCTTTGTGGGGAGCGCGCCCTGGAAGCCCGTCCTGAGCATGTGATTTGGGTTGGAATGTTCTTCAGCAACTGCCAGGGAGCAGCTGGAAGTTCTGAAGTTCATGGGGGCTGGAAGTTCTGAAGTTCAGGGGGGGCTGGAAGTTCTGAAGTTCATGGCTGGAGCGCAGCTGATGGTTCCTGTCTCCCTTTTGTCCCCAGGTCGCGCGAGGAGGCAGCGCTGACGCCCGGGGGCTCTCCCACAGCGCTGGGTGTGAGCAGGACACAGCAGGACCTGGCCAAGGCTGGAGATGGGGTGTTTGTGAGCACAGTGGCACCTGCCATGCACCCAACGAGCTCTGTGGACGGCACCTTCTCCCGCTCGGCCGTGCAGACCCTCTCCCGCAGCCACTGCCGCAACATCAAGCAGAAGATCTCCCAGTGGGAGGGGAGGACACGGGGCTGCCCCGGCAGGGAGAGGCAGCAGCCAAAGGACTTTGGGGTGAAGTATGATCCCAGCTGCAATGCTGTATCCAACGTGAAGCCAGAGCACACAGAGAAGGGCAGGTCCAAAGATCCAAAGAGCCTGGGGTTGGACTTCAGGGAAGGTGCACGGACCTGCTTGCAGACTGGTGGCTGTGATGGCCCAGCTTCCCAAGCCAAGGGGAAAGGACAGGGGCAAACAGGCTTCCTGGACCCAGGGGTGACACTGCCCCCAGGGAACTTCTATACCTCACAAGCTCTGTGGAGGAGAGCAGATCCCCCTCTGCCTGGCAAAGCCCCTCCTGTTCCCCTGGACCTTCAGAGGAAGCGAGGGGGCTCTGGCTCCACGGAAAAAGAACTGAGAATCAAAGGAGTGGACTCTCTCTGCGGGGCAGAGAGGAGCTTGAAAAACATTTACTCTGAGGTTGAGGGGCAAGAGGAGGATCCAGCTCCTGTCCCACCACCCAAACCCTGTAGGACTTTCCGCTACCTGGCAGAAAAGGGTGCTGGTGGTTGTAGAGATTCCAGTGCTACCAGGGAAGTTCCCCTGCAAAAGCAGTGTGGAAGGGACCTGGTGTCATCCTCCAACAATCCTGAGAAGAGAATGGACAGCAGGAGGATCAGAGGGAGAGCCCAGAGGTACATAATTCACCTCTCATGTCTGAAACGTGTTTCCTTACCTCAGTTTCTCGATGGGTTTAAGCAGCTTGCTTGCCACGATACCCTTGTGGAGGTGCTACTACTGCTGATGCCTCTGCTGAAGGGGAGAGGATATTCCTGGATGAAAGTATCCCCTTTCCAGCATTGTGTGTGCACTGCTTTTGCTGCTGATAATCTTGCCAAGAAGGCCACAGGCTCCAAACAGGTGTCAGCCCCACACCTTAGAACAGAGTGGAGTGACAATATGCTGGCCCCAGGGAGACACCTGCCTGCTCCCTGCCTGCTGCTCTGCCCTGAGCTTGCCCTCAACTGCAGTTTGTGGATTGCAGACTGGCTTTCTGCTGGGGCACTGTGGCTGCTGAGTATTTGGCTTTCCTGGGAGTGAAGGATTCTCTTGCTGCTTAAAGTTGAAGAGCGTGGGTTCCCCTGTTGCAATAAGTTTGGCTGTTTTTCCCTCTTTCCCGTGTGTAAAAAACCTCTGAGGTAGCTTGGTGCTAGTTCTGCTTACAGAATTGGGGCAGCTGTGCTGGAGAAGTGTGCCCGTGACCATCAGGGAAGAGGCTCGAGGTCCTGAAACCTTTCACAGTGGCAAAGTGTGCGGCAACAACCCAAGTTTTCTGGGCTGAATCCTTGCCAGCTCCTTTGTGACCTCTGTGCCATAATTTTGAAATGCCAGCTCACAAATGCATGAACACCCTGAGCATGAGTAGGAGAGGTCCAGTAGAAAGCAGTGCCCTGATTCTGAGCGCTGCTGCAAGTCTGCAAAACGTGTTTTGGGTTCTTGCCTCTCACTTGGACCCTGCTTGGCCATGGAGCCTCCAGCTTCAGTTTTAACTTAAAAACCTTCCAGAGTAAGTGAGTAGGACTCACTTGATGTGCTGGTTTGGGCTGGGATGGAGTTAATTTTCTTCCTAGCAGCTTGTGTGGTGCTGTGTTTTGGGTTTGTGATGAAAATACTGATAACACAGCAGTGTGTCAGTCACTGCTGAGCTGTGCTTACCCAGAGTTGGGAGGGGACACAGCAGGGACAAGCTGACCCCAATTGACCCAAGGGATATTCCAGACCGTGTGATGTTGTGCTCAGCAATAAAAATTAGGGAAAGAAGGAGGAAAGGGGGAGACATTTGGAGTGATGTCACTGTTGTATTTGATGGAGCCCTGCTCTCCTGGAGATACCGAACACCTCCCTGCCATGGAAAATAGGGAATGAATCCCTTGTTTTGCTTTGCTTGCATGTGCAGTTTTGCTTTACCTTTTAAACTGTCTTTATCTCGACCCATGCATGTGTTTTCCCACTTTTACCCTCTGACTCTCTGCCCCATCCCGTGGGTGGGAGCGAGTGGCTGCGTGGGGCTGAGGGGTTAAACCCCAACACTTGGAAATCAGAGTCCAGAGTGGGGCATCCGTGTGCTGGGTGGCCCCAAGGAGGGACCATGCCATGTGTGGACTGGAGACAGCAACTCACTGGTACAGGCAGGTGCCTTTAGGAGAAGTTACACTGGTTTTCCTCCAGGAAATCCTTTGAGTTTGAGGACATCCAGGGCTTCCGCAGCCGGAGGGCAGCCACCAGCTCCCACAGACCTCGGGAGGAGACAAATGGCACCACAGGATCCAGGCTGGTCTACGCACAGTCAGAAGACAACATCTACGAGGACATCATCTGTATGTGCCTGTGCTTCTGGGGGATGCCCTCACTTTATTTAAGGGTTGCAGTTTTGCTGGGGAGGGAGGATGAGGATCCTTTCCAGCCCTTTCCAACTCTGTGACTTTTTAAGTCCTTCCCCCTCTGGGGTTCTTTGTTGGTGTTAGTAACTATCTGCATGTGAAGAGCCTGATTTCAGGTGTCCTGGAAGGTCACTGGGTTGGTCTGTGCTACACTGATGCTTTGCTCAAGTGCTGCCCAGAGATCAGTGTGAACACTGCCAAATTAGCTGCTTTGCAATAGAGCTGCCTTCTCTGCAGGGGTGGAAGTGTTTTGTTCTGCTGTGTCCATGTACAGTTTGCCAAGTTGATGGCAGTGGGTTAGAAGGATATTTGAGTGGTGGGAACCCATCTTAAAACAGGTCTCTCAGACCTGTTAAAGCTTGGCTCATAACTGCACACTTTCCCTGCTAATATTCCTTGCAGGAATACATGGCTTTATCTCCTTTCATAAATCCCCCATCCAATGTTTCTTCCAGGTCCTGCAAAAGAGAACCCTTATGAAGATATTGGAGCACTGCCCTTACCCCTCTGGAAGGTCCCATCTGTCTGGAAGCTGCCCCCTCCCCGGAGCATCAGCAGGGCTCCCAAGGTAGGGTGGGGGCATTAAATGGTCAGATGTTTGCAGAGCCATCCTCATAAGGGCCCTACTTTGTGCTCACCCCCAGCCCCACATTCTCCACTGGCAGTCATTGGTTTTCCTTATTTTTTATTGTTTGTTATTAATGTTATAATGATATGTAATGTAAATAATGAACAGGCATGGCAGGGGCAGTTGATGAAGCTGCCAGAGAGCAAAAGAATAGGAACAAGAGTGTTGGTGAGATACTTCAGTGGGTGGGGTGGGGTGCAGAGTTTGGTAGAGCAGATTGGCCACCTGTAATCTGACTCCTTTGACTCTGACCTTGGACCAAAGCTTGATCTCCTGCTTTACCATCTCTTCTGACTCTGTTTTCCAGCCTCCCCCAAAACCTGCCTTCCTCAGCCGCAAGTCTCTTGAGCTGAAGCCCTCCCAGCCAAGTTTCCAAGGGAGGGTGGTGAAGGACACCTCTCTGCCCGTCACCCTGTCCGAGTGGAAGCTGTTCCGAGCAGTGGAGGCTGCCAGCAGGAGAAAGAACTTGCCCTGGGTGAGATTGAAGCGTGAAATGTTGTTCTTGTGTGGCATTTCAAACTCCTGCTGCATTGTAAGTGCTTTGTGAGTGGTCACAGAGCTGTTTGCCTGGCAGGTGGGTGCTGCTGTGTGTGTGGACCAGTGACTCTGCTCATCCCATTCCCTCTCCAAGTGGCAGGGCAGGTGTTTGGGGGTCAGAGGGCCAGTTCTAGCTGGGACAGTGGTGGATTTGTTGGCCAAGAATCGACAGAGAGAGTACTCAGTGTTGACCTGGAAGTCAGGGCTGTGTGTGACTACAGGCTCTTCCTCCTGCTTTGTCATCTAAGCCTTGTTCCCAGTGTTTCCATGGAGTGTAAGGATGCTGGTTTTGTGCTCTCTGGGAGCTGAAGGGGCAGTCCTGTACCATGGTGTGTGGATGTTCCCTGCTCCCAGTGACTGCTCAGACTCATCCTTAAGTTCTCACTGCAGGCCCTGAGTTATTGGGTGGCTCTGGGAAGCTGGGCCCTTGGTTCCTTGGCATGTTGGCTTGGAGGTCTTGACTTGGCATCAAGAACAGCTGTTCCATGGTCTAAAGGTGAAGAGGAGCAAACAGGGATAAGTGCATTTCACAAAGCCTTCATACAGTTGTCCCCTCTGGCCTCTCCCTCCTGCCTGGCTGCAAAGGCCAGAGGACTGAGAAAGGCTTTAAATCCACCTTCACATAGAGGACTGTTGTAATTCTCATTTGATGCCTTGGGAACCTTTGTAGATGCTTGGATTGGTTACCAGCTTGTGTCCCTCAGTGATAGAATGCAGCATGTGCTGTAGAAGGAGAACTGCAGCTTCCACTGTGGTGGCACTTTGTGCATGGGACTCAAATCCCACTTGTGGTAGTGGCAAGGACTTAATTTTGCCACTTGATTTTACTTTTGGTAAAATCATTTCACTTCTGCAGATCTTTTTTTTCTTGTGAAAATCACATGTCTTTGCTCAGATTGCCCAGGACTGTGAGGTAGAGTTGGACAGCTGCAAAAGCCTTTTCAAACCTTTAAAGTGCTTTGGAGTATCAAGTAACTCCTGTCTGTGCTTCTAAACAAACTGTAGGTCTGGAAAATCAGGAAGGAGATGGCAAGATTACTAAAATGCTGTGATGGAGAGTATCTTTCATTTGGAGAGGGAAAATAAAACATTCTCCAGAAGCAAACCTATTCCAAAAATCTGGTAACAATTCACATGCAGGAAGAGCATTTGATTCTCTTTGCTCCTGAGGAATTGAGCCAAGATTGCTTGAGAGATTGAGAAAAGGACTGGAGTCTAAATAGAGAAAAGCTTACTTTTTGCTTGAGAAACATATGGCTGCCCTAAACACACCCAGGGTCTTGTACTGGTGACTCAGCTGCACAGAAATCAGAACAGAAATGGAAATTCTCTAGGTAAGGCTGGATGAAAGGGGAAAGAAGGCAGATTTGGCAGGAGAAGCACTGCTTTGTGCTGTGGGCTCTTTGTTCCTTGCTGCCTCCTTGTGCTGGGAGGGCTGGCTGAGGCAGAAAATGGGGAGAAATCGGCTGGAAAAGAAGAGCTTAGGCCTAGTTTGCTGCGCTGGGGATGAAGGCTTGAGCTGAAAAACAGGTTCTCTGGAATATCTTCCTTTTTATGTAGTATTTGTGGTGACAAATGGCTGGGCCCCACCCTCCTACATTCAGTTTAACGAATTCTTAACTTGAGACAAGAATGAACTTGACCTGCTCCCTGCACCCAGTGAAAATCCTTCTTCACATGAAGCAAGAGCCGCCTTTGATGTTGGGAGCCAGGGAGCCCCTGTGGCACTGCATTCCTGGCAGGTGAGGGGCAGGTCCAGGGCAGCCTGTGACAGGGTCACAAAACTTGTCAGGACTCTGCTTTTAGGGGTGCTGTGACCAGTAGAGGAAGATTAACAGAGTCAACTCCAAGTGTCTAAATGCTGACCCTTCTTTCATGGCTGTAGCTTAGTCTGCGTTGGGCTGTGTTTTTTTCCAACCTTTTTCTTCCAGTGGATCAGGTCTGTGGTGTCCCTGCAGCACAAACCCGTTATTATGTCCCACTCTCTGTCTTCACCCATGCAAAAACCACAGAATCCCAGAATGGTTTGGGTGGAAAGGCTCCAAAAGCTCATCTCATTCCACCCCCTGCCATGAGCAGGGACTTTCCACTAGACCAGGTTGCTCCAATCCTGTCATTTTAACAAACTACCCTGGAACAAGGACTGTGCTTGGAGCAGCCTTGTTCTGTGCCCGACTTGTGCTTTGGGAAACTTCTTTGAGCTGACATCCAAATGCAGCAGCAAACTTAAAAAACAACCCCCCCAAAAAATGCTCCAAGGTACAGTGAGAGAGCCCTGCTCTTCCTGGGCTTGGAAAGAATTGGGATGCTGGAGAATGTGTGGAATTCCGAGTCCTCTGTGGTGGAGGGGTTTTAAGATGCTCTTGTAAGTGCCTTTGCAGTTGGCTTTTAATAGAAAATGGAGATGTGATGCCAGACAGTTTGTCACTTCTGCTGTTTGGTAAAGGAAGTGTGACAGTTTCCAGAATGTTGCACAGTTTGGTGTCAGCTTTGGGTTGTGCTCACAGGAACCCCTCTGCTGCAGCAGAAATCTGTGCTCATTTATTCTGCAGTGAGCTGGGCCAGAAGTGCTCCAGCCTCTGAGCCAGGGTTCCTGCCAGGATTTGGGCAGCTTTTCCCAAGTGTTGTGGTGCTGGATTAGGGCTGTTGGGCTCCATCTGGTTGACACCCAGACCCTTTTCTGGACCCTCACATTAACCTCTGATTCTGCTTTGGATTTCAGCTGGTACTGAAAATCCAGGAGATCTTTGATTCCAAGCGTGGAAAGAAGAAGGTGAAGCTGCTCAGTCCTGCTGGGAGAGAAGCACCTCCAGTGAAAGGTATTGTGGTCTCCAGCACCACTGTCTGTGCTATAAAACCTCTTGAGTGGCACAATTCCTGTACACCCTGGCCTGGCACCACCACCCTGTGCTGGGCTGGCACAGCAGTGCTAAACCCCACATCTTGTGGCTGGAATTGAGCTTTCAGCATCACTAGGATTGGCAACACTTGCCTAACCCAAGTTTAACACTGTCACAAGTGGAAGTTTCTGAGCCTGAAGAGCTGAGCTACTGGATAAAAATGCTTTTTCAAAGGAGCAGAGTAAAGCCAAAAATTCCTCAGAAAACCACTTGGCACAAGAACTACCTCTGACTACTCCACTCACTGCTTTTGTGCCTCTAAAGCGATATTCCTGTGTTGTTCTGGTTTTGTAGCCGTAGTGTGTCTTTATTTATAGTACATTCTGTTCAGCAGCTCTGCAAAGTTTTATAGCAGTATCAAATAAGCCCCTGGTTTCTGCTCTTTGCCTGTGTTCAGCTGACCTTCAGGTCATTTACTGACAACAGTGACTTGATATCAGCTCTGCTTTTTGAAATTCACTGTTGTAACACATTTGCCAGCACCAGCTGCCCTTTGCTGGTGCTTTGGGCAGGATTGGTGGGCAGCCCTGAGGGATGTTGATCTGATGAGTCTCGAGTTGTCTCTCTTTCCCAACACTGGGTGTTGCCCATCTTCTTTCTGCATGGCTAATAAGTGAAAACTATGTGTGTTTCAGGTGAAACCAGTGGGAATGAAAGCGATACGGAAAATCAGCCAAAAAGTGAGTGAATCACAGGGGCTGGTCCTGTCCCCACAGCACTGCACCCTTGGCTAAGGCTCTGATGGGATGAGCACAATTAGTGGTGACTTCTGCTGAGACAGAGAAAGGGAACCTCTGAGAGCTTCCCAGCTCCAAGGCTGGGAGCTGCTGCTGTGACAAATGATGCCTGAACACCAGAAAATAACTCTCTGAAACTCTTCTGAGTATTAGAAACAAAAAGCACTCATTTATTTACAGCAGGCTGGGTGCTCGGGAATCATTCCCAAAGGAGGGAATTACAGAGGTTCTGCAGTTTTTATACTGCAATATCTAGACATTACATCATCTGTTGCACCCACTTCCCAAATCTCCTACAATACCACCTTTGCCCCACCCCTGACACACCTCCCGAATTTGAGTCAGTGGTCCTGAAATGACCACTCCTTCATCTTCCTCTTGGTCTTCCTCATCATCTCTGTCCTCCCTGCAATGGATTCAAGGCCTCTGGGTAGCTTTGACTACTTATATAAAGTAGTGGGACTCTGTTATGTGTCTTTTTTAGTACATTTCTACAGATGAGTAGCTCTTCACCTTGCTGAAATCTTGAAATTCTTCACAAGGAACGTTAAACAGCATTTTCAGAAATCTTGTACGAAGGTACTTAGCGAGCTAAAAGTAATAATGAGCTCTACTAAAACCTTACATAATATAGATTTTTAAGGCATCACAAACCAACCTCTATTTCTGCCACTTCCCATGAGTGCTGGAGGTTTAATGCCATTAATCTGCCCGTCACAAGAGACAGATTAATTTTGGGGTTGGTAGAGTCACACTTAACTAAAATGTGTCTTCTGGGAGATGGTCCTTGGTCAGCTTTACTGCCAACACTTGAGCTTATTCCCCCCCTAATTCCTTCCCTTGGTTCTGTTTTATACAGTGCTGTGAAATGCCCTTTTCTCTGGGGAGAAGTCACTTGGGTGTTTGTCTGGTTCCACAGCCCTGAGTTTGATCACAGACCCAAACTACAGACTTGAAACACCTCCTTGGTTTTGGTTGATGTGGTGAGGCCCTGGCACAGGTTGCCCAGAGAAGCTGTGGCTGCCCCATCCCTGGAAGTGTCCAAGGCCAGGTTGGACAGGGCTTGGAGCAACCTGGGCTAGTGGGAGGTGTCCCTGCCCATGGCAGGGGGTGGGACAAAATTATCTTTAAGGTCCCTTCCAACACAAACCATTCTGGGATTCTGTGAATTGTTTTAGGAGTTTCATTTGCTTGGAGGGAAAGATAGAAAAGGCCTTAACTTGGAACAAATAATGAAGTTCCACTTTTTTATGGTAAGGAGAGTAATGGAGAGTGAAGAATCTCTGCAGAAATACAGTGATTGAGTCACTGCCTGGTTTGAGAGTTGTTTGAAAGTGTCTGGAATGTGTCACGGTGCCTGGGCCACAGGAATTTCTGACGTCGGAGTGCTGTGCCTGTGCTTGTGAGTCTGTACTGCCTGTCAGGACACCCCAGCCTGGAGGTTTCTTGGCCAGGAAACTGGCTCTGCCTTTCCTGAGTGCCAGTGCTGCTTTAGAGTCGCTGCCTGGCAGTTACTGGTGTTTACTGGAGCCATTACCACAGTACATCACTCCGAGGTGCATGGGAAGGACATCAGGGGCAGCAGGAGAATGCTGGGTATTGGTCAGGAGGGATTTGCAGAGCTGCTCCCTGTCTGAGTCATGGAACTGTTGAGGTTGGAAAAGACCTCTGAGGTCATCAAGTCCAACCATCAACCCAGTGCCACCACCACGTTCACCACTAACCCCCGTCCCCAAGTGCCACATCCACACGTTTGATGAACACCTCCAGGGATGGTGACTCCCCCACTGCCCTGGGCAGCCTGTGCCAATGCTTTACAACCCTTCCTGTGATGAAATCTTTCCTGTCATCCTGTCACTTGTCACCAGGGAGAAGGGCAGCTCTGTGCTTGAGGAGCTTGAGGTGTCCCGTATCCCGTGGAGAGAAGGAGGGATGTCAGGCAAATCCACCCATCTCTTTTCCCCCTCTAGAGATGACGATGAGTCCTCTTCTGTGACCTGCAGGTGTGTGGCAGTGACACCCACGGGCTGATTTGGGATTTATTCCTCCCTCCAGGTCACCACAGGTGCCCACGGCAGGTCCAGGCAGCCTCCAAGAGGAACCCGCACTACCAGACCTTGGAGAGGGATCTCATAGAGCTGCAGGAGCAGCGGCTGTTTGAGCTCTTTGTGGTGGTGTCCCTGCTCAGGAAGCCATCTGAGGTGACCTACACACCACAGATCATCCAGCAGTTCCCCAGCAAGGTAGGAGCTGCTTGGAAACCTGCCCACAAAACACACTCAGCAGCGTTTCCCTTCCTAAGGATGGGATACAGGCTTGGAATGTGAAGCACCTTGCTCTGTCACAGACCTAATGTATGGCACTGGGAGGTTGCTGAATATATTTCTTGGTAATGAGCTTATTGTCTTTTTTGGAACTAGGAACTAGGAAGGCTCCTACTTAATTCAAATTTCCTGGAAGTATCATAAATCCACACAGGATTGTGATACCTGCTGAGGCAGGCGAGGGAGAGGAAGGGAGTGCATTGCTCTATTCCCAAAGCTGGCAGGATCTCATCCTGGCAGTCTGATCTGTCAGCAGGGAGTGAAGCAATTTGACTGGTGGTGCACAGGAACTGGAATCCCAGGGCTTTTATGCTTATTGATGCTATTTTGAAAAAAATAACAATAAAAAGGCAAAGCTGTGTGTACCAACCCCCCAGCCAGGGGAGAGCTGTGGAAGTTGAAGTGCTGTAGCTACCACAAGCCATTTGAAATAAGCTGTTCAGCCCAGGTGGGTGACAAAATCAGTGTGTGACTCTGAGTTATGGCTCAGTGTACACGGTTGTGAAGCTGAGATGGAGCCTTGATGCTTCTGTGGTTCCAGATTGAAATGAATATTCAGCTGTCACTGCCTAGGCTTGTACTGCTGCCTTCCACTGAAACCAGGACAAAGATAGGAATTCTGGCTGTGCTGCCAGGAGAGAGCCAGAGATCATTAAGGAATCTGCATGTCATCCAAATAGGAGATTCCTTGAGGGGGGGTTATGTGGGACCCCAGCAGGACCCACAGTGTCCCACTTCCAGCTACCTAAAGGATTTATGGACAAGTAACTCCCGTGTCTTAAATGTGTGAATGCTCTGGATTCACAAGATGGATAAGGAACTACAGCCAGAAAGAGTGCACAGTGTTAATTTAGTGGGTAGAACTTAAAATACATGAATAATACTTGCTAAAAGTGCAAACTTGAGGGTGTTAGGGGAAAAGAAGGAATGTGGCAGATTTAGCTGCAACCTCTCAGTCTGTCCACTGCCTTTGGGAAGGGCACTGCAGGGCTCCTCTCCTGCTGCCCCAGCAGACAACCCAGCTCTGCCATGTGGCTCTTTACTGGCTTTTGTAAGTCACTGACACAACAAATTACTTTCTCAGTATTTATTTATTTTCTGCTCAAAATAAAGTGTTTTGATGAGTGGCTTATGATGGGACACTGTCATACTGGGATTTTGCAGGAAAGATTGCCAAGTAATTATGGAGGTGTTCTGATTACAGACCTGCCTCCCTTCTAATATTAGCCTTGCTTCCAAGTAATCTGCTGTCACCCTCTTCTTTGGGCTGTGTGCCCAAGGACATCAAAGCTTTTGTACAACTGTTACTCTGTGAAAATGCTGTTCTGTTTTCCTAATGTTCCTTTGAGCTGTCACAGCTTGGGACACTGGAATAGCCTGGATGTGCTGAGTGTCTAAAACCAGCTTTACGCCATAAACTTTTCACTTCTCGGGGGCATTTCCTGCTTAAATGTGATCTCTCTTATTTGAACACCTTCCTTTTGCCCTTTCTGGGCAGTTTTGAGTATGGAGAGTTGGCCTCTAGTCTTTGAGGGATTTGATTTGAACCCACACGTGGTGGAGCTGGAATGTGTGATTCAGAGACACTGTTGTTGCACTCGAGTTATGAGTGATCTCTGCACATCACAGGCTGAACACATTCCTGTTCCTGTTAGTGTTTTCAAATCTCCTAGGGATAGAACCAAGGCAGGCTGACCCAGCCATCATCTGGGGGTCAGTTCTGGCTTCATTCCCCAATAAACTTGAGTGCTTGTAAATCCTTACTGTGTTCTTACCAAGACCAGCTGGGTCGTTTTACAAAGGTCCAGTCAGCAGGAAAAATGCAAGAGGGAACTGGGAATCTCCTATATTCAGAATATATTCTCCTGTACCTGTGCATTAGTTATCTGATGGATCAGCATTTGGAAGTGTCAGGAAGATGCTTTCTCTGTTGTTTTAAATGCTGCAGCTGTGCACCAACTTCAGTGACTTCAAATGCATGTGTTACCCCTCCAGCCTGAACATCCCTTCAGACAGTCAAAGGATACTGAAGAGAGGCTAAAGGTCATTCCCAGATTCTGCTTTCCAGATCCCAAAGACTGGTTTCCTGCATCAGACCTTAAAAGGTAAAGACTGGGTTTTGAATGCTTGTGCCTGAAACAGGCACTGCTGAGAGCTTTGGTGTGTGCCAGAGGAACTGCAGCCAGAGCAAGGGAAAATGGGAAAGGCTGAATCCCCTGTGCAGGGGAAGATGAGGTGGGGACGTGGGCTCAGAGTTCTGCTTCTGCCCAAGCACTGTCTTTCCTTTAGGGAAGTTTGTGACATCTGTCCAAAACCAGCTGCTGGGGCTGGAAGTGCTTCTGCTGCTCCTTGGCTGAATGGAGAAGCAGCTGGGAAGGAGGAGAGCTGGAATAGCTCAGTGAGAGCCCATGGGCTGCAGGCTTTCCTCCTGAACAGAGCCTGGAGTCCTTGCTAGCCACAGCCAGGGATCTTCAACATGACCAGAAGGAGAATGGCTTTATTTTGTGTGCTTTGTCAGTGTCTTCTCTGAGCTGTGTGGTGAGTTAACCCTGATTTAACCCTGCCTTTTGTTCCCCAGTGAAACGTTCTCCTTCGTGCTGACGGGTGAGGACGGCAGCCGCTGGTTTGGGTACTGCAAGAAGCTCCTGGTAAGGGTCTGTGTGTGGGCTGGAGGGTACAGAATGCATTGCACAGGCACAGTCAGGTGCAGGACATGAATCAGAGGTGGTTTTCCATGTGGGGTGTGCAGCCTGTGCTGCTGTGGAGGTACCAACCCTTTAAATGCAGCGGGTCATGGTAATCCCCAGAAACAGTGAAACGGGCTCTGGGCATGAAACAGCTCCTGAAGCTGGGCATTCCTCAGGAATCTTATAAGTGTAGAGGGAAGTGCAGCAGAAGGAATTCTGTGAATGAGCTGCAGTGTGAGGGCTGGGTTGTTCATTGCACCCCTGTTCTCAGCAGAGCTGTTGCTGTTGCCTTTCAGCCAGAAGGGAAGGGGAAGCGCCTGCCCGAGGTTTATTGCATCGTGAGCCGCCTGGGCTGCTTCAACCTCTTCTCCAAGGTGAGCTGGGGACAGCCTGTCACCCGAGTCTCTGACAGCCTGCAAGCTCCAGGAGGATGCTTCTGTCAAGCCTAGAATTGCTTAGTGACTGCAGCTCATCCCCTGAGAGTGGGGGTTTCTTGCTGCCTTTGCTTTGAGAGGGAAAATAAAATGATTCTAGTGCAGAGACTTGTGAGCCAATACACAGGTCCTTCAGCAAATACTGTCAGGAAGTGGCTTCTGATACCTGGTGTTGTTGAGGGTGCTCCTTCATCCTCTTCTTCCATGACTTGGAAATGGAAAATCAGTTTGGGAATGGGGTAGATCTCACCTTGTTTCTTGTAGCACCATGAGGTGGGGAGATAAAGAGGTGAAGAATGGGGAAAAGTGCTGCAGGTAAAGGGCAGAATAATACAGGGGTAAACTTTGATGAAAGCTGATTGTGATTGTTGGAGCAGAGAGTTTCTAGAACAATGTTCCAGGACGGTTTCTTGGGGAGGGTGGTGGCATGTTGCTCCTCTTACTCCTCTAAATAATGAGAATTTATTGCTACACACAAGACATTTCCTTCCAGTAGCAGGAGGCTGGGGAATGGAAGAGTTGTGCTCGCAGGAAGCTGTTCCTGTTTGGTTGTTCAGGCACTTGAGAGGGGCTCTCACAGGGTCCCAAGCGAGGGGGAAGAGCTTCCCCATAGCCTGGAATGCTCAAAGAGGGGCTCCCACCTCCCCTGGCTCACCAGCAGCAGTGAACCGGTGCCCCACGTGTTTTCTTGCAGATTTTGGATGAGGTGGAGAAGAGGAGAGAGATGTCCCCGGCCCTCGTGCACCCGTTCATGCGCAGCGTGATGGAGGCTCCGTTCCCTGCCCCGGGACGCACCATCACCGTCAGGAGTTTCCTGCCCGGAGCAGGGGATGAGGTAACAGGGATCAGGATGGGCTTCCCTCTGTTAGTAGGCTCTCTGGGACACAGAACCTCTTTGCAAGCTGCCCTGCAGTGATGCTGCCTGTAAATATTTAATCTGAGGAAAGTGCTCTGAAGTCGCAAGGGAGGTTGTTACAGAAGCCAGCTTTCTGTGGAATCCCCTACATTGGAAGTGATTCCCTGCTTTTTAAGGAGGAGCTGTTGGGGAGTCCTCTGTGCTGCACCAACTGCCTGGGCCCTAGTTAGGATCATAAAATATCCTGAGCTCGAAGGACCCACATGGATCATCCAGTCCAACCCCTGCACAGGACACCCCAAAATTCCACCCTGTCCCTGAGAGCATTGTCCAAACACCCCTGAGCTCTGGCAGTCTTGGGGCCATGACCACTGCCCTGGGGAGCCTGTTCAGTGCCCGACCACCCTCTGGGGGGAGAACCTTTCCCTGATATCCAACATAACCTTCCCTGGTTATGTTCCAGCCGTTCCCTTGTGTCCTGTCTCTGATCACAGAGAGCAGAGATCAGAGCTGCCCCTCGTGAGGAAGCTGCAGCCCCTGATGAGCTCTGACCTCGGGCTCCTTTCTGCAGGCTGAGGGGCAGCAGCTCTGGGCTCCCCCAGCACTCTGTGTCTCCCTCACCCCTCAGGTGATGGAGCTCTGCCGCCCCTTGGACTCTCGGCTCGAACACGTTGACTTCGAGTGCCTCTTCCAGTGTCTCAGTGTCCCCCACACCATTCGGGTCTTTGCCTCTCTCCTGCTGGAAAGGAGGGTCATCTTTGTGGCTGACAACTTAAGGTAACAACTAAATGTGAGCGAGTAGTTCATTCTGAGGGGTACTGTTATTGGGTACTGTTATTTCTTCTGCCTTTGGGCCTGTTCCATGTGCAAGCGTCTTTACTTTTTGTAATTAGTTGCATTTGAAAACCTTTTGCACTTGCCACACAACGTGTGCATGCTTAGATTTTGGAGTAGGCTGTTTACACAAGAGGAAATATGTCTACTTTGCCTTTTTAGTCTGGGTTGATGCTGGTTTAGCTCCCCATAACTGACTTTAAAAGTGGGTGCACGGGACTTCTGCTGCTGCACACAAACACTTGCCCTGAGCGTTTCTAACCTGTGGCTGGAGCTGAGACCTGAAGGAAACACTGACAATCCACCCTGTGCCTCTCTCACCTTTCCAGCACTCTGTCTAAGTGTGGCCACGCTGCTGTTGCAACACTTTACCCCTTCACCTGGCAGCACACCTACATCCCAGTCCTGCCAGCCTCTATGATCGATATCGTGTGCTCTCCGACCCCGTTCCTTATTGGCATTCTCTCCTGCTCCTTACCACAGCTCCAGGACCTGCCCATAGAAGAGGTGAGAATGGGGTGAGGGACAGTGTCAGTGGGATGAGGTTGCCCCCTCTGGAATAATCTCTGGATTCTGTCTTAATATAAACTCAAACATTTTGAGAAGTTGGTGAACTTGGCAGACACCGGTCAGGGTGTTCCAGTGTTATCGAAGATAAATAATGTCCACTGTTCTTAGAGACAGGAATATTCACTGTTCTTAGACACAGGCTGCAGTTAGGCAGAACTTGTGTGACAGGACATTTAAAAAAAACAAAACAAAAAAAAGAGTTGGGTTTATTTTCTGTACAGCAACATACCTGGTTACGAGTCAGTGTGTTTTGTACATCTTTCCTCAGGTTCTCATTGTTGATCTTTGTGCCGACAAGTTCTTGCAAGAGGTGAGTGAAATAACAGTGCCAGTCACTCATGCCAGGAAAAGGCATCAATGAAAGAAATAAAAACAAGCACTCAGGATAAGCTGGTGTTCGTATCTAGACTCCAGTGGCTGAAGAAATACCTTGTAATCCCTTTGGACTGACAGAGAAGGGAACAGGCTTAAAAATCCCATTTGCATGATATGGAGAGCTCTGCATAGCCAAAGATGCTGCTTGTCTGAGCTGAATTTAAAAATGGATACCTGGCTTATTATGTGAAGGAGATCACTAAGATCCTCTGCTGCCTTCTGGCTGTCTCTCCCTGTACTTGTTCTGTAAAATACTTTCTCCTCTCTCATCTAGGTGAGGTGTGTTTGTTGGTTTAGGTTGTTGTTTTCCCCAGGAGTGATAATCTAGGGAACAAATTATCACAGTTCACTCCACCTAAAGTGCTTCTGCATCACCAGACAAGGACCTACAAACTGGGATATTTATTACTAGTTCAGGAGGATATTTGCTTCTCCTTTCCCTCGCCTCACTGTCCTGTTTTGCATTGCAGCCTGCAACTGGAGAAAGGTATTAAAGGATTGGGGTTTTTTTAAAACCCCAATTTTTGGGGGTTGAGACTTGTCATATTTTCTCAACAGACTTGTTGTTGTTTGTTGTTGTGTGTTTTTTCACTGCTGAAATAAGCCTGAGTCTGTGTGGTGGCTGTAGCACGTGTTCTGTGTTGGCCAGCTGTGTGTGTGACTTTAACAGAACGTGTCTGGAGGGTGCTGAGCAAATATTTTTCATTTCTGTGGCTACAAAACAAATACATTGCTCCACCAAGATCCACCATATCCCAGGGTAACTCCCCTCCAACTGCTTTAGGCACGTTATGGATATTTCTCATCTGTTCCCTGGTTCTGCTGATGATGGATCTAACACAAAAATCCTTCCTTGGCCAATTTTTGTCTGTAGGTATCAGATGAAGACGAGATCCTGCCTCATAAACTCCAGGCTGCACTTGTACAAGTCTTGGAAGAACGAAGTGAAATCCTGTCACATGGGCAGGGTGACACACAAGGTACTTCTGTGGAAAATTTTCTGTGGAAAAGTGTTTTCCCATTAGCAGATCTTTATAGCTGCTGTGGAGTTGGTACAAAAATGAGCAAATGGGAATAAACATTAAGAAGGGACATTTTAGCTGTTTCCCTGTGATCCCACTGAGGACATCTTGCTTGTGAACGTGTGAGAAGTTTGGTGTGCTGACAGTTGTTCCTCTTTTCACAATCAGTATGTGCAGAGCTGTAGTTTTCCTTGGGCCAAGGGCATCAGTTCCTGTGCTTTGAGGTTTTTTTGATTTTTCTTAAGTGGCAGAGACGATGCTTTTCTCAAACAGAGAGTTTCTGTACTTTAGAAGGTACTCTGACAGATCATTTTCAAAGCTGGACTGATTTATACATAATCCATCAGATAAGGAAGTGTGAGAGTTTTAAAAAGCATTGGATGGCTGCAGAGAATGGCATTGTCAAATGATGTAATTCCATACACATGAGAAGTAGCAAAGTTAGTTTTCCAGTGGGTTTGTGTTCTGTAGTTTGTCTAATTCTTTAAGAGAATTAAACTTAGCCTGTTATGAGCTGTCAGCATATTAGACACGAGATGTTTGGCAGGAAAAATGGAATTCTGAATGCTTTAACTACTGAAAGGCTTTAGAATTGAACCTGTCCCAGCTGCAGCACAAAGCTGACATGGGAAATAGAATATTTGAGCTGTGACCTGTTTGATATCAAAGAGTCATCTGAGATTTCACAGTCTGAGACAGCCAGCCCAAAAAATAACTGAGGTCACTGCTTTCCTAAGAGCTAAGAAGGACCTAAGAGCTGCTTCTCCTTTAGAAGAGGAATGACCAAAGTGATGGGAAATCCCTCTGTGTCCTCCTCACAGGGGACATGACTCTGAACTCGCTGGTCTCTGAGGCTTTTGTGCAGTTCTTTGTGGAGATTGTCGGGCACTACTCCCTGCACATGAACGTCACGGAGAAGGGGGAGCGGGTGTTCCAGCGGGAGCCCTTCCGCAAATCCCACGTGTCCCGCAACGTGCGCCACTTCCTGCAGTTCTTCATGGAAACACAGATGTTTGCAGGGTTCATCCAGGACCGGGAGCTGAGCAAGAGCGTGGTCAAAGGTAGGTTTGATCTTTCTTCTTGTCCTGGAAAGTTGTCCTGTTGGGATTTTGGCATATGGGATAGCCCCGTTCTCTTCCAGTTACTCAACAAAATTCATCTTATGAAGCAAAGAGTTGTTGCATCTCTCCTTTCTGGGCTCGATCCTGCAGGTTACAGACACTACATGCAGGATTTCCTTTCATAACCTTGTTAAGCACAGAAGATGCCACATGGTAAAGGGTGGAGTAGCTCATGTAGAGGAGTGATTTTTAATTTTTTCGGATTTTTTTCTCTTTAGGCCTTTTTGAGGTCCGTGCCTTGGAGTATTTGGAGACTATTCCAGAGACGGAACGAACTGGAATGAACAAAATCCTTCGCAGCCTTGGTAAAGGGAGACCCTTGATTTTTGTTGAATTTTAATTTTTTTAATTAATTTTAGCTATTGAATAATTAATTTGATGCAAAGGAGAGCAGGGCCCCTTCTTTGCCTTGTGCACTTGTGTTCCTTTGTTTAGATTTGCCCCTTCAGGAGATGCCGAACACTGTGCAAGATTTTTCTTTTATTTTTAAGCAAAACATCTTTATCTAAAGTTTGTGAGAGGTGCTGCTCTGGGGGATGTACAGGCTTGATCCTTAACTGTGATCCTGGCTGAGGACACACTCAGAAGTTGTGTCTGTAGCAGAGTGTGGCCATGTGTGACTCAGCCAGATGCTCCTGGCGTGTCTCCAGCTCACAGAATCATGGAATGGTTTGGGTTGGGAGGGACCTTAAAGATCATCTCATTCCACCCCTGTCACGGGCAGGGACACCTTCCACTAGCCCAGGTTGCTCCAAGCCCCGTCCAACCTGGCCTTGGACACTTCCAGGGATGGGGCAGCCACAGCTTCTCCCCACCCTCACATAAATCTCCTAGAGCTGTTTTTTTTCCCCGCAGGCAACAAAATGAAATTTCTCCAGAAGAAGTGACCGGGCGCTGCTGCGGGACAGCGGCGGGACCGGGGCGGGGGAGCCGCCGGGCCCTGCCCGGGGCCGGGCTCCCTGTGCGGGGCGGGGGCTCCGTGTGTGTGTGTTTGTGCTGGGTTAACAGGCATCTCATGGATCGAGATCCAGCAGACGGATCGAGATCCAGCTCGCGGATCAATAACCAGCTCGTGGATCAATAACCAGCTCACGGATCCAAACCCTTCCCGTCTCTCCGTTCTTTGCGGGGCCGGGCGGGGCGGGGCCAGCGCACGGGGCGGGGCCAAGGATGGGGCGGGAGGGGCGGGGCCAAGCCGGGGTGGGCGGGGTCTGGGCTGGAGTCAAATCGGGAGAGAAGGGGCGGAGCCGGACTGGGGGGGGCGGGGCCTGGGGCCCAGGACCGAGAGGGGCGGGGATCTGACTCTGAAGACGCGTGGTCTGAGTCAGGAGGGGCGGGGTCTGTGACTGAGGGGCAGTAGAGGCGAACCGGTGGGGCGTGGTCTGAGCCTGGAGGGGCGTGGCCGGGCCGGAGGGGCGGGGTCTGCTGACGGAGCCGAGGGCGGGCCCCGCGCACGCGCAGAGCGCGCGCGGCCGCGGCCAAGATGTCGGGCCCGGGGCTGGTGGCCGGGGACGTGGTGGTGGATGCGCTGCCCTACTTCGACCAGGGATACGAGGCGCCGGGAGTGCGGGAGGCGGTGCGTGCGGGGCTGGGGCGGTGGGCGCGGTGATGGGGCGGGCGGGCCGCCCCGCCTGACGCCCCGTGTGCGCTAGGCCGCGGCGCTGGTGGAGGAGGAGACGCGGCGGTACCGGCCGACCAAGAACTACCTCAGCTACCTGCCCGCGCACGACTACAGCGCCTTCGAGGTGAGCTGAGGCGGCCCAGCGCCCTCCATGTGCCGCCTGTCCCCCCCACCCCGTACCCTCTTGTGTCCCCTCCTATACCCCTCTCATGTTCTTCCCCTAAACCTTTCTTGTCTCACCAAAGCCCCTCTCGTGTCCTCCCCCCCAACCCCTCTCGTGTCCTCCCCCCACAACCCCTCTCGTGTCCTCCCCCCCAACCCCTCTCGTGTCCTCCCCCCAAAGGGTGTTCCCCCCAAAAACCCATCTCCTGTCCTCCTCCCCAACCCCTCTCGTGTCCTTCCCCCAAACCCCTCTCGTGTTGTCCCCCAAACCCATCTCCTGTCCTTCCCCACATTCCGACTGGATCCCCCTTGCCCTCTGGCTCCCCCCCAGACGGAGATCATGCGGAACGAGTTCGAGCGCCTGGCGGCCCGGCAGCCCCTGGAGCTGCTCAGCATGAAGAGGTGAGTGAGCGGTGCCCGCCCCAGGTGAGCGGTGCTGGCACAGGAGCGGTGCCCCCGGGTGGGGAACGCCCCCAGGTGAGCGGTGCCCGTTGCAGGTACGAGCTGCCAGCCCCGTCCTCGGGGCAGAAGAACGACATCACGGCGTGGCAGGAGTGTGTGAACAACTCCATGGCCCAGCTGGAGCACCAGGCCGTGCGCATCGAGAACCTGGAGCTCATGTCCCAGCACGGCTGCAACGCCTGGAAGGTGTACAACGAGTAAGGCCCTCAGCTGAACCCAGTTCTGAGCTGAACTGCTGTGTGTTTGTTGTGTTTTCCTGTGTGAGTCCTGCAGGGTCTTTGGAGTATGATCTGGAATAGTTCAGGAACATAGTCTCCCTGTGAGAGCTGTGAGTGCAAGAGGAGGCCGATCTGAGGGAGAAGCAGCCCTCTCTGTGGCCAAGGAACAGCCCGTGTTCTGATACATCCCAGTCTTGAATTTTGTGACTATTGGTGATAATGGACTTTAAACTGAGGAGAACTAAAGGGACTAAAGATAGAGAAAGAATAATTCAGTAGTGGAAATAAAAGTGAACTTACTACTCGTAAAGATGAACTTGCTCAGCCTGGAGCATAATAAAGCTGCTGCAAAAGCCATAAAAAGGTTGTAGGGGTATTGCTGCAGGAAACACCAGGGCTGTTTCAGGCAGAGAATGTTAATGCTTGTTTTTGAGAAGGGTTGGCTCAACCTTAGATAAAGGAGTAGGCAAAAGAAATGCAAAACCCAGCTCTGAGAGAAGGCAAAGGGTTGCTTAGCTCTGGAGAGAGGGAGCAGGTAGAGGGTCTGTTATCCAGAACAGTGTGTTTGGGTTGCACTGGCTTGTTGTATCCTTAACTCTGGAGGGTTAAATGTCAGGTTGAATGACATTTTAACTCAGCAACTGTGTGGTTTTCTAACGCTTTGCTTGCATTCTGCCATCAGACACCTGGTTCATATGATAGAACAAGCCCAGAAAGAGCTTCAGAAGTTGAGGTGAGTCATTCATGTTTCCACGCTGAAATTGGATTCATACTGAAATTCTTCTCCCAGGCTTTACAAAGGCTGGTGTATGTGCTGCTGCCATGATCACAGGAAAAAAGACTCAGTAATATCAATAATTAAGAAATGTGACCCTGCCCTCCCCAAGCAGTTACATTCATAATGCCTGTTCTACTGAAAGTTCTGTGTTTCATTTGGTTTGGTTGGCTTTGTCTTATTATATCTGAACTTCTACTCTGGATTGTGGAATTCTCTCTGAAATGTAGTAATGGTATCTTTTCACTGTTGATAGATTTCTATTTAGTGTGCAGTTGTCTCTGCAAAGACATGTTCCCTCATGTTGGACTTGGCCTTTTATTTATCTCGGAGTTCTCTGTGAACCCTGTACTGGGATTTATCCATTTGTGTGTTGTCATTACAGTCCTGGCTGCACGAGTGTTTTCCGGTAGTACTTCTAAGGATTAAGTATATTTGGAAATTAGCAACAGATAGTAATGATTTTAAAGAAATGAGGATAAAACTACATAGATCTTTCTCTCCCCAGGAAAAACATCCAAGATCTGAACTGGCAAAGAAAGAACATGCAGCTCACAGCTGGGGCCAAGCTACGGGAAATGGAATCCACGTGAGTATCGAGAATTCTTCTGTTAAACCCGTTCCTGTTGGTGTCTCTCTGCTTTCTTAGTTGTCTTTGATTTTTAAACCAGAGGACTGTTGAATAACACTTAAAGGCTTTTTTTTATTTCCTTTCCCTTCCAGGTGGGTGTCTCTTGTCAGTAAAAATTACGAGATCGAACGAACTATTGTGCAGCTGGAAAATGAAATCTCACAGATCAAACAGCAGCACGGGGAAGCAAACAAGGAGAATATCCAGCAAGACTTCCAGTGACTTAATCCTGACTGTCTCACTGCAGCATGTGTTAAAAAAAACCAGTTTGAAGATGCTGTGTTTTTGGCAGTTGCGTGAGGTTACACAAGTTTCTGTTCTCATTGTTTCTTTTCCTTGTTTTAAATTCTAGGAGGAGGTAGAGTGGACTCAAAGTGTCCCGTTTAAATGACTTATAGGCACAGTTAAATGTACTGTGAATTGTTTCAGTGTTCATATACCCAGAGTAGGAGCTCTTCAGAAAGCCGGTCCATGTTTTTGCGTTTCCCCCGTGCCTTTAATAAATCTTGGTTTGCTATTTGTGTGGTTTGTGCTCCACATTCCAAGGGGGCCTGAGAGCTGTGGAGGAGGGGGCTGTGCCAGGGGAACCCCCACATCGCCCTGGGAAAGGGATGGGTGTGAGCTGGAATTTGGGGCCAATGGGAATGAGCCAACCCAGGGGCCCTATCCTGGTGCTCTGTTCCCTATCCCAGTCTCTCATCCCCCATTCCTGGTTCTCTGTTCCCCATCCTGGTGCTCTGTTCCCTATCCCAGTGCTCTGTTCCTCATCCTGGTCCATTATCCCCCATCCTGGTGCTCTGTTCCCTATGCCAGTCCATTATCCCCTATGCTGGTCCATCATTCCCCATCCTGGTCTGTCATTCCCCATCCTGGTCTGTCATTCCCCATCCTGGTGCTCTGTTCCTATCCCGCTCCATTATCTGCTATCCTGGTCCATCATTCCCCTTCTCGATGCTCTGTTCCCTATGCCAGTCCATTATCCCCTATCCTGGTCCATCATTCCCCATTCCTGTCCATCATTCCCCATCCCGGTGCTCTGTTCCCTATCCCGGTCCATCATTCCCCATCCCGGTGCTGTGTTCCCTATCCCGGTCCATCATTCCCCATCCCGGTGCTCTGTTCCCTATCCCGGTCTATCATTCCCCATCCCGGTGCTCTGTTCTCTATCCCGGTCCATCGTTCCCCATCCCGGTGCTCTGTTCCCTATCCCGGTCCATCATTCCCCATCCCGGTGCTCCGTTCCCTATCCCGGTCCATCGTTCCCCATCCCGGTGCTCTGTTCACTATCCCGGTCCATCATTCCGCATCCCGGTGCTCTGTTCCCTATCCCGGTCCATCATTCACTATCCCGGTCCATCATTCCTCAACCCGGTGCTCTGTTCCCTATCCCGGTCCATCGTTCCCTATCCCTGTTCGCGCTCTCCCGGGGCCGTTCCCTGTGGGCGCGGCCCTTCCTCTGCTGGCCCCGCCTCCCTCCGCCGATTGGCTGAGAGACCACCCCCACCGCCCAATGGCGTCTCACCCCGGGGGGTGCTGTGCCCGCCCCTCGTGACGTCACCGGCCACCTCCCCACCTCCGCGTCGCCGCTGCCGCGGGAGCGCGCGGAGGGGGGCGCGCGTGCGCGGCGGCGGCGTGCGGTGACGCGGAGCGTGCGCGGAGCGGGGTCGGGTTCAAAGGAGGAAACATGGCGGAAAACAAAGGAGGCGGCGGCGGAGGGGACGCGGCCGCCGAGGCCGCGCCGGGCGGCGGCGGCGGCCTGGACCCGCCCTGCGCCTCCCCGTCCGCCGCCGCGCCGCCCGAGGAGCGCGACAGCCCCGGCGCGGCGGCGGCCGAGCGCGGCGCCGGCGAGGCCGAGGCAGAGGCGGCGGCGGGGCCCGGCGCGGCGGCGGGGCCCGGCCCCAGCCCGGTGCCGCCGCTGACGCCCGCGGCGCCGGGGCCCTTCTCGCTGCTCGACACGTGCGCCGTGTGCGCGCAGAGCCTGCAGAGCCGGCGGGAGGCAGAGCCCAAGCTGCTGCCCTGCCTGCACTCCTTCTGCCGCCGCTGCCTGCCCGAGCCCGAGCGCCAGCTCAGCGTGCCCGTGCCCGGCGGGGCCAACGGCGACGTGCAGCAAGGTGAGCACCGGGGGGGCTTTCCCCGCGGGGAGCGCCCCGCCGGCAGCGGGGTGTCCCGGGAAGGAGCGCGGGGTTTTCCCGGTCCCCGCGCGGGCAGGTCCGGCCGCGGCCGCAGGAGCTGCCGGTGCCCCGGTGCTGCTCGGGGGCTGTTCCGTGTTTGCGAGCGGCCGCTGGAAGTTGGGAAGTTGCTGGGATCGAGAGTGTGAATCGCGTTCCGTGGGTTTTCAACACACGTGGAAGGAATGGAGCTGTTGGACAGGGCCCAGAGGAGGAACCAGGATGATCAGAGGGATGGAGCAGCTCTGCTGTGAGGAAAGGCTGGAGAATTGGGGTTGTTCACCCTGGAGGAGAGAAGGCTCCGGGGACACGTTATTGCAGCCCTGTAGTACCTAAAGGGGTGCTGTGTAAGACTACTGTAACGAGTACTATAAGAACGATGGGGACAGACTTCTTATCAGGGACTGTTGTGACAGGGCAGGGGGTAGTGGTTTTAAACTGAAGGAGGATCGGTTTAGATTAGATTTAAGGAAGAAGTTTTTTACAACGAGGGTGTTAAAGCACTGGTACAGGTTGCCCAGAGAGGTGGTGGATGCCTCTATCCTGGAATCATTCAGGGTCAGGCTGGACCAGGCTCTGAGCAACCTGTTGAAGATCCCTGCTCGTTCCAGGGGGGTTGGACTGGATGAGCTTTAAAGGCTCCTTGCAACCCAAACTATTCTGTTTTGGCTCTCAGGGAGGGACTGGGCAGCCTCAGTTCTACAGCACTGGGGTAAAGCATATCTAATTAAGTGCAAACTACCTGCCTAGGTGGGAATTGTGTGTCCACTGCACCTGCTTTGCTGTGACTGAGATAAAACCTTGCAGTGCTGTCTGTCACCCGAGTTGCTCTGCACGTGCCCAACTTGTGCCAGGAAAGAAGAGTACCCTGCTCCTTCCAGGTGTTCCTATCAAAACCACGGCTTGAGTTTTATTTTTTTTTTTAATATATTATACATTCAGGGATGGAATTGAAAAGCTTCTGGAGCTGTAGATGGGGTGACTCACGTGCTGTGGTGTACAGACCGATTTAGGGCCTTGGTAAGTGGTTTTACAGGTCTTAATTGGACCCTCTGGTCAGAGAGACCTTGTTTGGTGACACCCTTTGGACTCAGGTGTATCCTGTGTTGCACAGTGAAGGAATTAAAACCTGACTTGGTAGTGATTTGTTCATTCAAACTGTTCAGAAGTTCATCTAGGAAGTGCTCTTAGAAAATTCATTAGTTTTAAAAAGATACTGTATTAAATGTAGTCTGTAAATACACTCTCTAGAGTACTGCGATGGTCTTGTGATCCATCTTTTTATATCCATCGTTATATCATAGAATCACAGAGTGGTTTGGGTTGGAAAGGACCTTAAAGATCATTTTGTCCCACCCTCTGCCATGGGCAGGGACACCTTCCACCAGCCCAGGTTGCTCCAAGCCCTGTCCAACCTGGCCTTGGACACTTCCAGGGATGGGGCAGCCACAGCTTCTCTGGGCAACCTGTGCCAGGGCCTCCCCACCCTCCCAGGGAAGTGATATGCCAGTGGAAGACACAGAACTTGGGAAGCTGGGTCTATTTTATTAGCAATTACAGGATTATCCAGGTCCCACTGTAGGACACAGGTGTGGGAACAACACGAGGTGTAGCTCCTGCACTATATATAGACTGGAATATCACTTCTTGTAGTACATTTTTAGGAGTGCTTGTTGGTGTGCTTTGGTGTAGGAAGAGTTCATCTTTGGGTTGCTGCAGCAAAAAGTTTTAGATCATGTGATTAAGATGTGGGCTCTGGAGCATCTCTGTTGTGAGGAGAGACCGCGGGAGCTGGGCCTGGTTAGTCTGGAGGAGACTGAGAGGGGATCTCATTAATGCACAGAAATATCTCCAAGGGTGTCAGAGGATGGTGCCAGACTCTTTTCAGTGACAGGACGAGGAGCAATGGCCATACATTAAAACACAAGTTCCACCTCAAAATGAGTAAGAACTTCTTTCCGTGGAGGTGGCAGAGCACTGGAACAGCTGCCCAGGGAGGTGTGGACTCTCCCTGTCTGGAGACATTCCAAACCAACCCGGACAAGGTCCTGTGTCACCTGCTCCAGGTGACCCGGCCTTGGCAGGGGATGGGCTGGGTGTTCTCCAGAGGTCCTTTCTGGGCTATTCTGTGTAGGGTCTGGGAGAGGGTTGTGGTAAGGACGTGTGTGATCCATCTGCAGTGGTACCTGAGCCTGCCTGAGCACAGGAATTGGCCAGCAGGGCAGGAAAGAACCAGCCATGGACCAGCAAACGCAGTTTTGTGGACAGTTCTCTCTGCACCTTGTGAGTGGAGTCAGTGTGGCACATGGGACAGTTACCAGTAAATCAGATAGAAAATGGACATTCTCAGCCTACAGAGAAGTACCACAGTGCTTAGTCATGCAGGTTCCTTCCCTGTTCTGGTAGTCACCAAGTGTTACTTCCACTTCTGCTGCTTCCCTGGTCTCCCTCCCCACGAGCAGGTGCTTTTCTTGGAGGAAGAGTTAATGAGAAGTGGTACCTGTAGCTATACCTGAAGCAAGTTACACTTAACTGCTGCAAGTTGGTTCATATCTGTTGCACTGGTGAAAGAATTGGTTTTGCTCTTGTTTGCATATTTGTTGGGGAAAAAAATAGAAGTTTCCTGGTTTATGTATTTTTGACATATATATTCTTTTATGCTGTTTGTTCAACATAAAAAGTAGCATCTCATATTCAGTTTAATGTCTTAATTGATCATTGGAATGTGAATTTTGTTTGGTGGATAGATGATTTCTTAATGCCTGGTGTTTCACCTGTCCAACTGGACTCTTACTTTCAGACTGAACAGGTTATGAGGAAAAATGCCTTCTTGTATTTGTATCCCAGTATTCTGAAAAATGCTTATTTCTAAGTTAAGAGTTACAGATACTGTAAAACAACTTTTCCTGCACCCACTGCTGCTCCTGCTCCTGGAAGATACGTTGTTTTGTGGTTTCACTGCCTGGCTGAGATATTTACAATCTCTCTTAAGAAGATTATCTCAGTACAGAGAATGTGTGGCTCTCCCAGCTCCTTGGGAATGTCACAGTTTTCATTGGGCTGAAAAGCTAAACAGGAGTTGCAAGATGCTTTCAGAGAGCCAAGGGGAAACATCCACAGTTGGTTGTGTGTGGAAACTGAGGAACAACGTGTTTACTACTGAGTGCTGTGATGTGTAGTACCATAAATTAGTTGGATATGCTGAATTCAACTCTTAAATTCAGTGTTTGTGTATTTAGAAATGTGTATTAATCGCATCTTAAGTTAGGCAGTAACTGTTTTTAATTTACTGTGAAAGGGGGACATAAATGGTCTGACGTGTATGAGCATGTGCCATTCAGTTTGGTGGTAGTTACTGTATTTTCAGTCTAGAAGAAGAATGAAAATTCCTGCATCAAGCAGACTTTTTAAGCTGTGTAAATGCAGTATCTTAATTCCAGTGGATGTGAGTACTTATCACTTAAAAGAACTGGTGGAAAGCAGTCTGGGCTTCGCCATTGCCTCAGACTTGAAGCAAAAACCTTTAATTGAAGAGTTGCGAAAGGCAAGTTGCTTTAATTGAAAACTGCTAAAGACAAGTTGCAAAAAGACAAGTTGTTTAATTAAAAAGAGTGGGTTTAATTTAAAAACTGTTACGTGGTAAGGGCTTCAGCTCACCTCGCCCTCCCAAGTCAGGTCTAGCAGGTGAATTTTGTTGGATGCAAACAGAGCAGCCCTGAGCCTGCTGTGGATGTAACTAAACCACTGTTCGAGTGCCCAGTACGGTGCAGTGGGAGATCAGAGCACAAGAGATCACGAGGGAAGAGCAGGGAGGAAGATGGATGGGGATGAGAGATCCAGGAGCCTGAGAGGATCCCAGGGATGGGAGACAGAAGGATCTGTCTCCAGGCTTGGAGCCCACCACCAAGGACAGACCCTACAAGCCAGCACTGAGCCCATGGTGGTGGGAACCCCTTTTCTGTGCTTCTAGCAGTTTCTCTTGGCTTTTCCTACTTTTCTATTTCTCTTCTTTCCCTCCTCTCTTTTTGTTTTAGAAAATAAAGTTGAATTATTGTTTTGGAATCCAACATCTGGCTTTGTTTGTGCCAGGAATTTTCAAACTTAACTCCTCTCTGCGTTTTTTGGACCGAGGCAAACTTTGCCTCTCTGCACCAAGTGGGTTGGAACAATCACTTGAACTCTCTTGAATCTTTAGTTTTCTCCTCTGTTAATAAGTGAGGGTCGTGAAGATATGCTGGAGCCCAGCACGAGTCCTGAAAAATGGTCAGTTCGTATTCTGGGCTTCCTAAAAATCTTATTGTGAAACTTAAATTTCAGTCTAAATTAATAGTGTATTTTAAGATATTTCTGTCTGAGAACATTTAGGCATGTTTTATTTTTGTAAGAATTAATATCTGTGATTGCTATAAGTTGTGTTTTCTTATTAAATGTAATGTGTTGTACAGTTGTGATTTAAGCAAGGATTGTTCAAAAAAAAGTGCTGAGTTAGAAGTGGACCTTGAAAGCAGTTAATTTTTTTTTAATGTATTTTTGTTCTGACGGGTTTCAATCCGACTGTGTCACTGCCTTGACCTGTGAGGGGTTATTTCAAGGTCTAATCACAGAATTAGAGCAGGGGTTTGATGTATGGCTGTGCAGAAACTGCTGGACCCTTGCAGTGCTGAGAGAAGTAAATATTATGCACATGGAGTAACTATTATTGGTGTTCTCACCCAATAAATGAGAGCTGGCAGAGAATCATTCCTGAGAGGGCTGATAATGTGCCAAGTTTGAACTTCAGACGGAAACTGGAGTTATTAAATTGCAAGAGTGTTTGCAAATATTTCCTGAACTGGGAAGTTTTATCATCGTTGTAACAATGTAAACATCTGACAGGACTTTAATTATCTCATATTCACATGGACACTTTGTGTGTGGAATCAGCCTGACACATTGCAACCCAA